GGCATCTTACATCATTAACAGATAATATTAAGGCAAAGATCAGTAAGTATACAAAAGTTTTAAAAACGTCACTCTGAGAAATGGAAAACACAGAAATGGAAAACACAAGTAGTACTATCAATCCGGTCAGAGCAGTAATGCATAACGATCTATCTGAAAAATCGCACACAGGTAGCTGGTTTACTGACGGAAGGCTTGCCTGAAGAGAAAGGTCTTTATCTGCTTGTGGAAGGATAGCAGAGATGGGGCCAGCCTGGCCTCCTGTGGGAGGGAGTTCCAAAGTCTGGTTGCAGCCACAGAGAAAGCCCTCTCCTGCATCAATCCGGTCAGAGCAGTAATGCATAACGATCTATCTGAAAAATCGCACACAGGTAGCTGGTTTACTGACGGAAGGCTTGCCTGAAGAGAAAGGTCTTTATCTGCTTGTGGAAGGATAGCAGAGATGGGGCCAGCCTGGCCTCCAGTGGGAGGGAGTTCCAAAGTCTGGTTGCAGCCACAGAGAAAGCCCTCTCCTGTATCCCCATTAGATGTACCTGTGAGAACGGCCTCCCCTGATTATCTTAATGCCCAGACAGACTCATAGAGGGAGACGCGGTTTTTGAGATAGAAGGCTTGGACCCGAGTTATTAATATCTTACTTCTTTGAAAGTCATTTAAGATCCTCTTATAAGTCTTTATTTTAAAGTACCAAGACCACGAAACTCTCTGCATGAAAACCCTGTGCCCCAAACTTGACTTTTCATCCCATTGCAAAGCAATTGTTGATACTCCTTTTTAAAAAAAAAATACTATCCTACAACTGAGTATGCACAGACATGCTGAAAATCAGTTCAACTGCAAAGTGCTTTTCAGGAGTTAATCCTGGAAGCATGTTGGGTTTTCATTGTGGGTAAGAAACGGAAACATGTACAGGAGCCCCATCATCCATCTCCACATCCCACAAGGAAGTGGGACAGACGGTCACAGGTTCAGCCGAACGCATTCACAACTGAGCTCCTCTTAGTCATGGAAATGCTGGTTCAGTAAAAGATGCTTGCAAGGCATCTCTGCAGACCTTCTTGATGACCATGTGAAAGTCTACCTTACTTCTAGGTAACGTGGAGGAGCAGGACTTACATTGGCCCCCTACCATCATGAGAAGCCCCACTGGCATTCTGGCTTAATACCCTAGTAGAGAGGTCGTTCCTTGCAGCTGAAAAGTGTGAAAAAGAAACCAGGGTTTTCTTGGGATTTGCAACAGAGGCAAAACTAGGCTTCCAAAGACGGATTGTAAGGACACGGGTGTATATGCCATCTAACATGGCTGTAAAGCTGATTTAGGAAGCCTAAGAAAAAGTTTAAAACAACAGCAGTGAGCAAACAACCGTATTACATTCAACTATTCCGCTAACCGGTTTGTGTTCTCGGTGCATCTTCGGGTGTGTGATACTGAGCTGGGAGAGGGTTGTAAAACAAGGGGCACCTTCCATTTGCACACTCAAATGAAACAAACAAAAAGAAGTAGATTTTTTGGTGAGTATTTATATTTTTAAAACAACAACAACTTGCTTTTACTATATAAAGCGTTCGATACTTGTCCCGGAGACCTTGTGCAGAAATGGTGACAGATGACAGCTGTTGTCCCCTTAATAAGATTAAAATAAAGAAATTAGTTGGGCTGACTTTAATCTGCCATTTAACCCCGTAAAACCACCTGGGGCCCTTCTCCACCACCGGCACTGTAAATTCTGAATTTAAAAAATTGTAGAACTCAACCTGAGCTATGGATGGTTCTAAATACATTCTAATTATAGCTGTCTGTGGTTAACAAGCTTATGTCACCGTTCTCTTCCTCCCCCCCTCCCCCTCCAGTTTTTAAATCCCTCTGTGTTTTAGCAAAATATGAGTAACCATCCGTTTGCCTGCCCCTCCTTTGTTGAAATTAATTGCTTTTTCTGTTTGGGATTCCTTTTTCCCCTCTCCTTCTTTTCTCATGACATTATGATTTCTATAGAAAAGCATAAAGAAGTGAGTGTTGCTTCAATGGAGCTCATGAGATGTTAGGAGAATGATTTCTGAACGAATCGCTGTTTCTTCCCCATCTGAAAATGAAACAGTGCATCATCCACCCTCAGAAACAGGGCAATAAAACAGGCGGTGCCTTTCCAAACAGCACAGAGTTTAGTTCCAGATGAAAATTTAAACCGTTGCAAATATTATTTATTTTATATATATATAATTTGTTTTAAATTCCACATTGATTTTGATCCGATTAGATTGACTGGGTCTGGCCGCAGAAATGGCAGCGGTCAAAGCTCGGTTCCATGGGCGTAGGCTTGCTGGCTGGAGGGTTCGTTGAGCTGTAGGCCAGCAAAGTAACTTTCCCCAAATCTGCCCTGGACAAGATACCCTCTGGGGCCCCTCCTCTCTTATCAAATTTTGGTGTATCAGGTAGCAGTGTCATTATTCCTAAGAAGCATTTCCCACTTCCGTAGTATCCCAGAGGAGGCAGAGGACTTGGTGGGAGGCAGAAGCGGAGGGTCCCTTTGGACCGAGAGGAGGACCAAGGTCAAGAGACCCTGTTGTGACCCTGGCAGCAAATTCCAAGAGGCCAGAGGCTGGGGAGTCTCCTGCCGAACAGCGGAAAGGCTACCTAGGCAAATCGTGCTGAGGAGGGAGGGGTTTTATAGCCAGGATGCCACCATAAAAGCGTTGGCATCATAGAACCAGGATCATTAAGTTGGAAGGAGGCTCTTTGGCCACGGAGTCCAACCCCCCCTATTCAAGGCAGGAATCCAAGTCAAAGGAGATCTGCCAGGTGGTTGTCTAAACTTCTCTTGAAGGCCTCCAGGGTTGGAGCACTCCCCACCTCCCGAGGTCTTATTTATTTGTTTGTTTGTTTGTTTATTTGATTTATATCCCGCCCATTTGGTCAGGTCGACCACTCTGGGCGGCTTCCAATAAGGTGTATACGATAAAACATAAGGATTTTACAAACAGTCCATAATACATACAATAATAAAACAAATAATAAATGAAAGAAAAAATAAAGAAAGAATTAAATATTGACAGGAGGGAAGGCCTGAACATACAACCATGTTTTTAGTTGACTCTTGAAAGTGCCCAGCGTAGGGGCCGCACGAATCACCGGAGGAAGGTTATTCCATAGGCGAGGAGCCACCACCGAGAAGGCCCGGTTTCGTGTTCTGTTGTTGTACTACTCTAACAGGACGTTTTTTTGCTGTTATTCAACCCAAATCTGGCTACCTGTCACTTGGCCGTTAACTTATAGAAGGTCTGTGGATAATTGCTCACTCCACAAACGTGTGACCACTTTGCCTGCGTTGAAAGTTGTGTTCCCATTCTTCTCGGGTGGATGGACTCAAGTGAGAGATAGTGTGTGCTTCCCCTCTCATTTCTTTGCCATGAACCATCTTCAAGCATCCCTGTCGGTAGTGGGGAATGAAAAGCCAGAAACATAGCAACTCCTCCGTCGAAGAGTTTGAGGCTGAATCCTGACACAGTTTCCTACAAGTGGACAACCTGATTTGGATATCTCTAGGCTGCTGGGAGAGGAGACAGTCGGGAGAGAGGAGGAGGAAGTGGCTTTCAGAGCTGCAACGGCATATCCTGCCAGGTTTCCTCGTGGGGGCCGCCAGTTGCCAACCACTCCCTTAGTATCTGTTGTTTTAGTCCTTTAAACAAAGGATTTGCTGGGCCTTGTGCCCATTGTTTCTGCACAGTACGCCCAAACTACCATGAAACATCTATCACAGGAGAAAAAAAGTTTGCAGAAGACCTTTGTAGTCAACAATAATATAAGCATTTATTCTGCTTGACTGCTGTTTGACACTTAGCCCTTTCTAACTCTTCCAGGCTGAGTACACTATAGCTGCCTTTGTGTTCTCTACATACTCTTCAAAAGTGTAAATGGCTCCCTGGAGGTTAGGGTGGAAAGAATCAGTCCCGGTTGTCCGCAAGGTGAACAGTTATGGCCTCTTTCCATTCTCGACAATCATTTAAGAATGTTTTGTTTTGGCTTTGCTTCTCTACATCCTCTTTTCTCACCAAGCTTGTTTGCGAATGACTTTATAAAGGGGTCCCAGTTGTGCATCCTCAATTAGACAGAAAGGCGGTGTGCATGTAGCCCCATCCCTGAAGATTTTCCAGCAAAATTAGCCATTGATTGACTCTTCTATTCCTTGTGAAATACTGTATGCTTAAATGTGAGTGGCAAAATACTGTACAGAATTGTTCAGCTGCGTTCGTGGAGAGATGTTCTCTAACAAAGAGTGTATTAAAAATGTGTAATCTCAAAAACATCCGTTGTCTGGGTCCCCGTGAGTTTCACACCTTATCTGGTTCGGCCTTGTGCAAAGAAGTTAGAATTTCAGGAAACTTCAAGTCCAGAGTATTAACTTTTAACTTTTATGCCTTAATCTTGGCCACAGAGCCACTGCTGAGCCCACCTCAATGATGTGCAAAGAAGTTAGAATTTCAGGAAACTACAAGTCCACTTTTTAACTTTTATGCCTTGGCCACAGAGCCAATGCTGAGCCCTCCTCAACAGCCTGCTTCTACATGTTATGGAAAGAAGTGAATTCTTTGGCCATAAGTCCATTTTTCTTGATGAATTAGTGGGAGTGCTTTCTGTGACAGTCTCAGAGAAAAATAATAATCATTCCCCTCACCCCCTCAATTCAAATTGATATAATTTTAGCACAGTTGACTTTTGTGTTGGGTACACTTCAAAGCATGCCCATATTCCGTGTGCCTCTACCTTGTGTGAGAGATAAGTCAGCAAGGGTCATCCATGTATGCCTAGGCAGGTGGCCAATCCCATTATTATTTCTGTGAACAGAAGATGACACCAGAGGTACATCAGACGGCTTGGGAATCTGTATGATTTATCTGCTTGACCTTAAACGGTTGTGTTAAAGCAGTAGGACTGTGAGTTTGGTGTCCAATAGCGATGGGCAATTTTGGTCTTAAGATGATTAAAATTCCACTTTTACCTCTAGGTCGCTCTGCAGTGCAATAAACGTTTACTACTTGGCCTGCAACCACTGTGTGGAAAATTGCACCTACGTTTTGTTCAGCAACAAGATCACTTTTCTAATGGACCTCTTGATGCACCAGCTAATGGTACGTAAGTTTTTTAACTCCGAATTAAACATGTCAGTATCATTGTGCTGGGTGAGCTTGGTGGAATGTTGATGAACCGGATAAAACGGAACCACGTCCACCCATGACCTTCTGTAATATGCACATATATTGTAAGAATGGTAGGGTTGCAAGATCCTGCTTGAAGGCCCCGAATTTCGCCCCTTATCCTGAGGCTAAGGCTGAAAGTTTCACTTAGGCGAATATCAGGAACCAGTGGGGAATATCATAAACACTTGTCTTGGATTTCAGGACTTCAGGGTCAGTTCTAGAGCAGCTTGGGCGGGTGTTAATGTGCCACCTTTAGGAACATGTCTAGTGTCTCCCATAGGGAGATCTTTGACATTGACCGTTCTAGGTATACCATGATCTCTAGTCTAGAAAAACAGCAGGAAGAGGCCTTTCCCGGCTCTTTCCCAACCTGGATCCTTTACCGGAAAGGCTTTGGGGCCATGAGGATGGTTCCTCACTTAAATGTTTCCAACTAACTAAAAACTGTCTAATTAAACTGCTGCATTGGCACTGGGCCAAAACTGTCTAATTAAACTGCTGCATTGGCGGCTTGCCCTTTTCATCACCACCTTTTGTTCTGCTGCCTTTGGAGTTCAGTTGTCATCTCATAGTCTTAGTTATGGTCGTTAGCCGCCTTGAACTCTGCTTAGGAAGTGGGGGGGGATGCAGATGAGTATAACATACAAGAGTGGGTGATAACTACTCAATCCGTGGAGATTCTGAGGGTTTCTGGCTGGCTACAGTGCTAAAGTAGAGTGATCCGTACATCAGTGCAACAGGTCTCCTCTTTTGTACAGAAGGGCGTTAAAATGAATTGTGCCTTACGACTCTTCATTCTTCTCTGATAGTACATGGTTGTTTCTGCCTTTCTGCCTGGAAATGAAAATGGTCCAAATTGAAACCAGATCGTTTGAATATTCATTCATTCATTCATTCATTCATTCATTCATTCATTCATTCATTCATTCATTCATTCATTCATTTACTCATTTACTCATTCTTTTGCCACCCATCTAACCCAGTGGTTATTCTGGGCGGTTGAACATTGTTCATTCATTCATTCATTCATTCTTTTGCCACCCATCTAACCCACTGGTTATTCTGGGCCGTTGAACATTCAATAGCTTGAATGTACCAAGGCGACACACAAGGGTATACATCTTCCCAACATTTCTTTTGAAAGTAGAAGCAGCTGCAGGAGGCTGCACGCCTGGAGGTGGCAGCAAAAGAGAGGAGGGACTAGAAACCAGTACTGTGGGACCCTAGGCAGCCTGTATTCCGAACCCCGTTGCTCCAGCAAAAGGCGATGAATCACTCCTCTGATTTTTGGCATGTTGGCTGGCCCGTGTGTCTCAGGATGGAAAATGGGGCATTGCTCACACCTAATCTGTAAAATATGGAGTAAATCTGTATTTTAGAACATGGGTTTCCAGCCTTGGGTCACCCAGATGTTCTTGGACAGCAGCACCAGCGTAGCCGATGTTGAAGGCTTCTGGAAGGGGCAGTTCAAAACACTTGGGTCACCTAGGGTTGGGAACCAGTGTTTTAGAGTGAAAGGATGAGCGGCTAAAGGAACCTGAATCCACCTCGTAGCCACCTCCTTCTTCCAATCAGTTAGCTTTTAGTTCTCCATTCCTGTTTCAAAACCAGGCTATGGGTAAGGGAGTGCCATTACGAGAGGTGCAGTGGCGAGCTAATGTGTAGCAGGAGGGGTATTTCTGTGTCTAAGATCCAGCCGTCCCCTCTGTGATTGGAGCAGGCCCAGCTTTCAACCAGATGGGGTTTTGCTATCCCAGAGAATTTCAGCCTTAGAAATCCACAGAAAAACGTTTTCCGTTCTGCCTTGTTTTTAATCCCTAAAAAATTGCATATCTTAGTGTGCAGCTGAACGGGTTTTGCCAATCTAGTTAAAAAGACAGATCCATGTTAATGGGGAAACTTTTAACTTTTCACTTAATTTTAAATGTCATTAAATATTTTATTAGAAACTCATTTTTAATTCATAGTGACCCACTCATCATGAGATATTTAGTCTAGGATTGCTACTTATAAATGGTGTGTGTGTGTTTTCATGAGCCAAGCGGTTTGTTAATTGAAAAGTTATGTACATGCCTTGAATAATTTACACTGCACGGTTAGAATCAACAAGCCATAGGACAGTTGACAAACACTTAAGAGGAGGCCCTCCGGAGGCCCTTCGTGTAGACAAAAGGAGCCTGAACGCGACTCGTTCATTTGGCTTTTTGCTAGTCACAGTTTCATTCTGTTCCTCCGGTTCTTCCCCGAGGAAGGTACCGTTTGGGGTGCACTGCATTTGACTTCGTCTTCCTTGTATTTTACATTGTTGCTGTTAATGTGCCATCAAGTTGCCTCCAACCTATGGCAGCCCAATGAATGAGTGATCTCCAAATTGTTCACAAAATCATCGTTTAGAGGCCCTTGGTGGACACATGAGGTTCTAGCTTGTGTAGTGAAGGTTCAAAAGAGACTCTCTGTCTGTCTAAGGCCATTTTGGGGTGAAATTTTCCCCTTTTTGTTGTGCTGGTTCTGCTGAGCCTACCTATGAAGAAGCGCTTGTTTTTCCCAATGAGATGATGTTCAACGGTGGGAGGAGATACAGGGTTGGCCAGCAGGAGGGCAGGTGTTTCCTGAGCTCATTGCTAGAAGCTTGGCACCTCTTAGAACTCTTTAGCCTTGGTTAGGTGTTCCTCTTTCTCATCACCTTCCCAAATGAATCAAGATGACTCATCTCAAGCAGTTCGAGGGGACACACAAATGGAGTTTGAATGTTGAACGGTGAGGAGGTTCATTTTAATTATAACCCGAGACCCTTTGAAGAACCTCTCTCTGGTGACCCTGATAGAGAACCTGTCAGATAAATCACTCTGGACCTCTGTGAGGGGCCCCATCAGGCGTCTTGGAGACAAAGTAGGTATCTTACCACTTTGAGCTAAGTTCCCTTCCACGTCTCTTTGCTCCTCAAGAAGAAGCAGAATCAGGAAACCTGAGCCTTCTTGTTCATCATGCTTCCATTTAGATCAAGCTCTAGACATGTTGAATTACAGCTCCCATCATCCCCAGCCCATTTTTAGGGCCCTGGATTGCAGCTATCTGGCATATAGCAGAAGGACAAAAATCATTTATGAATGAAACAATAGCCCAGCTATTCCTTTAGGAGTAATTAGTTAAAAGCAGAATTAGTTGGTTGTCACCTTATACCAGTAGAGAGATGGTTTAGAATAGTGGTTTCCCAACCTTGGTCCCTTAGGTGTTCTTGGACTAAAACTCCCAGAAGCCTTCTCCATTAGATGTGTGGGCCAGGAATTCTGGGGGTTGTAGTACGAGAACATCTGGGAACCCAAGGTTGGGAACCACTGGTTTAGAACACAAACTGGTTCAAAGTTACCGAAGTGAAAGTCTGCATATACAGGTCTGTGCAAATTTTGTTCATTATGTGGGCCGAGTCACCAAGTTGCTCATATGTTACAGATCATTACCTCTTGCAGGTCTGTAAGCCAGGTATATATATTTTTTCTTTGAGTGAAAGAATCCAACGGACAGAAGAGAGGATTTCTCTTGCAGGTTGAATGTAAGCCTGACCTGAAATGCCAACAATTTATTCAACAATTTGGTCTTAGTAAAATTTCTCCTTATGCCTCTGAAGACGTGGACTCCAGTCCAACTTATTGCAAACAATTTTTTCAGTCCCTTAAGGTGCCACAAGGCTGCTTGTTCTTCTTGCTGTAATAGACCTCCTCACTTCCTACACAGAAATTTATTATTTTTATAGATGGGCAACTGGGTCGACCATGTATTCATAATCAAGGCTTTAAATTAACTCTTTTTAGTGTATACCTTAAGTTGCAGGCGAAGGGAAATATTAACTTAATTTCAATGCTTTTTTTCTGGGTTTTTAATATGGATGATTCCTTTCTTAATTGGGTGTTCTCAAGTGGAACACAGGAGTGCTGGCAAATTCTTTTGAAAATCACAGACTGAGCAGACCATGTGAGCTTCCCTTTGACTTGATCTTGGGTTCTTTTGCTCATTTAGTTATACCAAAACTCACCAAAATTTAACTTGTGAGTTAAATATGTCTACTAATATTTCCCTGAGCCAGAAAACAAGGTGAAGGAAAATATCAGGATCCATGTACTTCGTGTCGTTTACATCATCTGCATAAAACTAAACCCAGATTGTGGTCGGACTGTGTCAGACTAGAGTTAACAGGGCTACCTCTCAAAAATGAGCAGGACAAGGATGCCTTTTAACTTTGAGAAAAATTCCCATATTTATTTATGTATTCAAATTATGCAAGTATATGATGAGATCAAGACAAGAAAAAGCAGCCAAAACAGTTAGGCAGAGCCCACTGAATTTAAAGCCATCCATGACGAAAAGTGTTTGGTCTTATACTAAAGTGATTGGGGTAAAACTGTTGGACTTCCATGGAGAGAATATTCCCACTACTTTCTAAATCACGTGGCACTGACTTTTATAGAGCGCAGAGTTCAGAATGCTGTCCAGGTTGGCCTAAGGTTCGTGTAAGTGGCCGGGGCGAATTTCTGATACTTTCTTCCAAAGGGATTTTATCAGTCCCATACTCAAGAGAGAGGTAGACTTCTCTTGTTCCTGCTCTGTTTTGTAACTTAAATCGCTTTTCCGCTTGTGTCATGTTCCTCATCTGAATAAATTATGGAGCAGAAGTTGGCGCTTTTAGAAAAATTAACTCCAGCAATAGCGCATGAACATTTGACGGTAGCGCAGTAGAGCTTGCTTTACGATGACTGCCTAATTGCGTATGTTCTCTCCTGGGTTATTTCTTCTTGTTTTCTGCCCTTACCGTTGAAGCGCTGGCACAGTCAGGAGCTAAAAGCTTTGTTTAGTCCCTAGCCAGGTAATGCCAATCAGCTTTATCTTTGCTTCCACCGCCCTCAGATTGGCCTCAACTTTGACCTCGGGAGACCACCCACCGTAGAAAGCAGCTCCTGCCCTTCCCAGCTTCGTAACTTAATGGCCTGGTTTCGTGGAGAGACAGAGAGAGAGAGAGAGAGAGGCACCAGTATTTACTGCAAATAGTCTCCAGAAGTCCCCGTTTCCCAAAATGTTTCTGTTCAGGCAGGCCCAGAGGCTTTATGTCTGCAGAAACCGCAGCAGCAGCACCGCTGATTATGAGAACGGGGTTCAGGCACCGAGGGAGCGCAATGATCAGAGATAACAGCGTAAGGTGCGCAACGCCCCTTAGTAACCTGTCCCCCGAGGGCATCCGACTGAGACACAGATTCTGCTTTTAAGAGGAAAAGGAATCACAAAATATTATCCTATGGCGGCAGCCAAGACAGCTACTTAAGGTAAACCTAGGGGATTTTTAAATTTTTCCCTACCAACAACACAGCCCCTCTGTGCCCTTCTGTCTGCCGTAAACGGTGTGTGCAAAACTTAATTGTGTGTGTGTGTGTGTTTCAGACATAGCCGAGCGAGCACAGGGTGCATGCTTTTCTCTTTTTATATATATAAAAGGATTAAGTTCATGGACCAAGGCAGGAGATACAGTGGTGCCTCGCTAGACAGTTACCCCGCATGACAGTTTTTTCGCTAGACATTGACTTTTTGCGATCGCTATAGCGATTCACAAAACAGTGATTCCTATGGGGGAATTTTGCTGGACAATGTTTGGTCCCTGCTTCGCAAACCGATTTTCACTAGATGACAATTTGCTTTTCGCTAGACAATGATTTCGCTAAACAGCGATTTCAGTGGAGCGGATTATCATCGTCTAGCGAGGCACCACTGTACCTCAAAAGCTCAGCCTTGCCCTCCCCAATCCTGAGCCAGCCACGCAAAGGGGCCTTCTCTCCGTTTTGCTTGGTGCTCTTTACAAAGCTAGACAAGCATCATCGGCACCTTTAAGGCGCTCTGTTTAAACTGAGAAGAAGCTAAAGGGACACATGCATCTGCAACAAGATCTCAAACTGCTGGTGGGTTGGGTTGGGTTTGTCAGGTTTCTGCAGGTACTTCTCCCGCCAGGTTGCCACCCAAAGCATGCATTGGCCAGTTTTGTAAAGGATTGATAACAACTAAACTCAAAATCTGTTCTCATGCTTCCCTAGAGAGGAGGAAGTTCCCAGTGAATAGAAGGTGTTGGAAACCTGTGGGATTCTCACACGATCAGTTTGCTGACAAATATATACATTGGCTTGTAGTATTATTTCCAGCATTTCTAACTCCTCTTTCTATAACCGGTTACCAAAACAACTGCCAAAAGTCAAACACTTGCGCATATAATGTAATCAAAAGGCTTAATTAATTTTAAAAAGAATAGCAAGCAAAGACACAAACTGGCTATTACAGGTAAAAGCAGAATCCGGGGGAAAAGTGGTGGAATTAAAAGTGGGTTGCATGTTTATTTGAGTGACAGAAGGCAAGCCACAGTCCATCCACGGAGTCCATCTTCTCTACTTCAGAGCCAGCCTTGGGTCACCAGATGTCCTTGGTCAACAACTCCCAGAAATCCTGGCCAGCACAGCTAGTGGTGGGGGCTTCTTGGGGTTGTTGTCCAAGAACATCTGGGGACCCACAGTGGGGAGCCACTGCCCTAGAGGAAGACCGTCCACTCTAGCGATGTTGCAATCATGCCGATGGATGTTGAGGAGGCGGCAGAGACAGGGGCTATTGCTATTGGTGTCGTAGGTGTTGTGTTAGGAAAGTGGTCTTTACCTGGAAGCTGCTTTGACTGTCAAAATGGCTCTTTCTTTTCCTACCCTGAAAATACAGGAGCTGGAAGGTTTCTCTCACTGCCTTTCTTCCCCTCCCCAACTCCAGCCAGCCTTTTCACGAAACCACTGCGAGATTGATCGTGGTTCTCCCGGCAGCATGCCTAGTTTGATCCAGGAGCTTCTAAGAACAGGGCAGGAAAGGGTGGCCCATGCATGTTGCACAGGCATTCCCTGCTGGGTTAATGAGTCCCAAATTGTAGCATCTGACTTGCTGGGGAACAAGGTGCACATGTTTTAAATACTGTACAATCCATCCACTTCGGTAGATCGTCAAAACCATTAGGCATGAATTACTCCGGGCTGTGTAAATTACCGGAGCACCGTAATATTTTTTCTTCAACTGAACTTGGATAAGACTTCTCACTTGCTAGCTTGGCTCACGACCAGGAAGAGACTCTTACGATGAATTTTAAGTTACCCACTCAAGGCACAGAGCTAATGAATAATAAAAAAAATGGGCATGTTGTTTGTTGCCAAGTGTTGCCATATTCCCACTGAGAGGGATACGGCGCTAAATGACAGAGCGGTGGCATTTTAAGATTCGACCGTCGCACCATTTAAATGAAAAACCTTTTCCAATTGGACTGTAACTTTTTACCATTACTTTTGGGGGTTGAGATGGTGGAGAGGGTTGTTTGTTTTTCTGCATACATTCCAGAGTTTCTGCTGAGGCTCATCCACTTTTCCTAGACCAGCCCCCAGCTTTGAATGGTGTCAAAAACCTATTCATTTGGACAGGTCTCCTGTGGTTTATCTTTGTCTTTATTATTACTAATGCCATCTTTAAAGTTTAACAACCATTGGGGGCTATGTAAACTGGAAGTTGTCTGTTGTGGGGCCCACCAGGTTGAGATCTAGAGGAGTCCTTGTATGCAGAAGGCTTCTGTTTGTTTGTTCGTTCAGTTTGTGTCCCACTCCCATTAACTCTGGGCAGCTGACAACTCATAAAATAGAAAACGCAAATGAAAAAGAAATATTAAAACTGGTAACAATAACCCTAAACAAATTTTTTTAAGAAAGAAAGAAAACCAGATGGTATCGAACTAATCTCAGAGCGGATGGAGGAAAAGAAGGGAGAGAAGAGGAGGAGGGGAGGGGATTGTTCTGCCAAAAACATAAGGCGTATCTGTTTACCTGGGAGTTCTTCCGTTCAGCTTCTATTGTTATCATGTGTACACACTCATATAAGCACATGTGCATGCACACTTATTTTAAATGAAATATTTTTACTGTTCTACTTTATTGATTACTTTTGTAATATTTTAATATGATTTTGTTCTGCTAATTGCTTGGTATGTTTTTTTAAGCAGTACAGTAGGACCCTCCTATCCACTGGATCAGTATCCACTGATTTGACTTACCTGAAAATGCTAAATTAAAAAACCCCAGAACTGTGGTTCTGTTTACCAGAACTGTCTACTTAGAAGGATCCAGAGACCATGAAATGTATAGAGTTCAATACTTCTGCATTTTTTTTATTTTTTATTTTATTTTATTTTTTGGCATCCACAGAATGTCAAACTCATCCCCCATTATTTTATTTTATTTTATTTATTTTTTTGCATCCACAGAATGTCAAACTCATCCCCCCCGGATACTACGGTCCTCCTGTATATACATTGTCTAAGACTAGGATGAAATAACTCACACTAAGAGGAGACCTTAAAAGCCTGCTTGAGTGCAAACCCGCAGTGCGTCCCATAGTGCAGTGTCTATAGGAAACCCAAAGGCACAGCATGGAGGCCGTAGCTCACCTCTGCTGTTCCCTCCTCCAGCAATTGGCATTCATAGGAGACTGCCTTGTAGCGGGTCCATCCCAGTCATCTTTCCCTTGACAACAACACCGCAGGCTTTCAGGCAAGATTCTTTCCTCAACCAACGTGGACGTGCTGGGGATTGAACTTATCAGAGGGGTAAAGTACTGCCATGTGTCAATCCTGAAATCATCCTTGGTGAAGCAGCAGTATTTGATCTAAACTGAAACTGACCTTCTCACCCCAAAAAGGGTTTCAGCAGCTTCCCCTAGCTGGACAGCTCCCCATGGGAAGACACACCATGCTCAGAAGCCAGTATGAAGGCAACAGACTGTGTCATCAAGCAACTAGGAAGGAAATACATGCTTCAAAAGAAAAAGAAAACAAAACAAAAGCCAATCTCATAACTCCCCTTCCCCTTTTAACCAATTGGCTCAGTTTCTTAGATAAGCTTTCAACCTGACAAATAAGACGTTGGTTTCTGTGCATCCATGCCAAGTTTTTAATTAAAATACAAACATTCTAGAGCAAATTCTAAATCAGGGCTCTGGGATATGTAGAAGAAGGCTCCATGTTAGTTAACCAGCCACTTTGAACAAAAATTACAAGTTCGTGGAGGACTAGGTTGGTTGAAATCAAGCTAAAGATGTTCCAAAATGTTTTAATTGCTAAAAGCTGAAAATAAATGCCCCCCTAAATAAAAATAAAGTGTTCCATTATTGCCCTTTGCCATTGAACTTATGATTCATTCATGCATTCATTCATTCATTCATCTACTACTCTAGGTTAGACTTCCACATACCCCGACCTAACAATAATTTTTAACTGTAACATGTAATTATCAAAATGATTTGGAAAACTCTGGATATCCCCTCCCCCACTTGAAATGCATTGATTCCAGCTTCTGTATGTGTATTTAGGTTTATGTTCCAGATGACCCTAATGCCACCTTAGGAAGAATCGCCAACAAGCAAGTCTTCGAAGGCTTGACAACGGGAATCTTGAAAATCATGGCTGTGGTGTTTGGGTGTCTGATCTCCAACATGGCTCAGGGGAACAACCAGAACAGCGTACCTAAATTAATCCAGGAAATGAAAAACAAGACCTCACCGGCTGAAGTCTTCAACAGTAGGATGCAAGACCTCATCAGGTAAGCCTACCGTCACCAAGGTAGTTTTCATATTGGATGCCAGGTCTTTTAAACCATCAAGCTGGCTGTTCATGGTTCCCTCCTGGCTCAGGGGAACAACCAGAACAGCGTACCTAAATTAATCCAGGAAATGAAAAACAAGACCTCACCGGCTGAAGTCTTCAACAGTAGGACGCAAGACCTCATCAGGTAAGCTAACCGTCACCAAGGTAATTTTCATATTGGATCCCAGGTCTTTTAAACCATCATGCCGGCTGTCTCCCTCTGCACCTGCTTGGCCAGATTACACCTGCAGGAGCGTCGAGAAGCAAATCTCCCTCTGTTGGCTGAACTGGCTCTTCCCTCCCCAGAAATGTTCCTGGTCCATCAGGTGTTCTGGCTGGCTGGTCTAGACAAGGCAGAAATGGCTGCTTCGTTCACCTGTCTGAGATGGGCTTTCCCGCAGGGATCATGGTGCCTGAATTTTCCCTGTTTTCCTCTTCCTTTCTAGCCTCAGTTTTGTTTCATGTTTGGTAAATAACCAGCTCCTTGTTTCAGCTGGCCTGAGTGCATGGGCAGAGATGTTCTATAAAAAAGGTTGTAAATAAATACAAAGCTCTCTTGTCTGGCAACCGTTCCATTTTGCTGAGTGCTCTGACCTGCCACAGGAATTTTCCCACACACACATGTGTTCTGCCCCTGTACCATGAAACATTTGCAGCTTCTTTCTTCAAGGTATCCCCTTTAGAGCCTGAGTGCATGGGCAGAGATGTTCTATAGAAAAAGTTGTAAATAAATATGGTAACATGCTCTGAATAGAGGACTTGGAACAGCATCTAGTGTGGCTGAGAAGGCCAGTTCAAGAGTGACAATCTCTTCCACGCTGAAGACAAATCCAATCTGTCCCCTGTCCAGCTCCCTGGTTTTGCTACTTTCGGGACTGCCTCTTTGCCGCGGCCTGCTGGACAAGGGTCTCTTCAAACTGGGAGAGGCCATGATGCACCGCCTGCCTCCAAGCTGAACGCTCAGACGTCAAGGTTTCCCATCTGTTGAGGTCCATTCCTAAGGCCTTCAGATCCCGCTTGCAGATGTCCTTGTATCACAGCTGTGGTCTCCCTCTGGGGCACTTTCAATGCACTAATTCTCCATACAGGAGATCTTTTGGAATCTGACCATCAGCCATTCTCACAACATGCTCAAGCCAACGTAGGCATCACTGTTTCAATAATGTATATAAGCTAAAAATTCCAGCTCATTCTTGGACTACTCTATTTGGAACTTTGTCCTGCCAGATGATGTCAAAAATGCGTTGGAGACAACGCATTTACCCCTTAAGGGGTGATGCCAAAAATGCATTGGAGACAGCGCATTTACCCCTTAAGGGAAAAGAAAAATGGGAAGGTGGCTGGCTTATGAGATGTAGCCATAAATGCAATTCCTTTTCCAAATAACCCTGTAAAACCACTGAGTTATGCCCTCAGTTTGTTCTGCAGAGTTAAAAACATGTATAGAAAATCACCCAGAGAAGGAATCGCACTCGAGGTGCCTCCGATTCTTCAAACCCCACTCATAAGCTTTCCGTTTCTTTACTCTCTTCTTGTTTGGTGAAATTCTTCTGCTGAAGAATGCGTGTTCTTTCTTCAAAGTAAATAAACAACACAAATATCACTGGCCCTAATAAGAATGTGCTGCACACAAAGGGCTCGCTTGCATCCGTGCCAGTTGGTTTCTGCTCCCAGTTACTCGTCATTTAATATCCAGTCAATTCTTTTATTTGATCAGATGGGTCACTTGTGCAGCCTTCTTCTTGGCTTGATGAGATTAGCCTCGGTTACGCTGCTATGTAAAAAGCCCTCTTAATAGGACTCCCAACAAGGAGCGGCTCCCTCTGCCATTGATTTCAGCAAGAGTTCAGGGTGGGAATAAACAACTGGATCATATCAGAAAGGAGTCAAGGCCTGCCCATTGATTTCAGCAAGAGTTCAGGGTGGGCGTCTTGGGAATAAACAACTGGATCGTATCAGAAAGGAGTCAAGGCCTGGGAGGAATTGGGAAAAGAGCACCAGGTGTGATCCGTGGAATCTCTAGGCGTAGGAAAGATGTTGGTGTGAAACTTTCTACGGCCACTGTCGGCCAGCTGTAGATTATAATGAACCAGATCAGTGCTTCCCAACTTTGGGTCCCCAGATGTTCTTGGACTGCAGCTCCCAGATACCCTAGCGGTGAAGGGTTCTGGGAGTTTTAGTCCAGGAACATCTGCGGACCCAAGGTGGGGAACCATTGAACTAGATAGATCTTGGAAGGGACAACTCCATCAATGACCTCACAAGCACTCATGGTCAATTACTATGCAGGCAGTGGTATTCTGGTTTGAAACGACCACTGTTTCCAGTCCAAGGTAATGGCTATATTTCATCTCTGTGGAGCAGGTGTTTCTATTTAATGCACATCTTATGGTGCAGGGTTTTCCCCCTCCTGTGTGCATTTCCTTTTATTTGTTTCTTCTCTCACTAAGATCCAGGGATTCCTTCCTTTTTGTTCCTATCATCTGTCTTCTGTCCTCTTCTCTGAAAGACGAGATAAAGGATACATTTAATTTTCCGAGGGTATCTCCTGCTTCTCTTAATAAATTGCTTTTTGTTGTCTCTCTGAACCCTTGTACTGACCCTGGCCTTCCTTTCCCCCCGACCTATGGCACTTGAGACCCTCCAGATTCCCTACCTAATATATTAATTTCTTGATGGCGGGAATCCCATTTGGTCACACAGAGGTCTTTTGGTGTGTCTGTATTTGTGTCCCTGCCCTTTCTGAAATGCTGAAGCATTTTCATTAAAATTGATATTTTAACCTTTTTCCCCCACAATTTATTGAATTGGCAGAGGTGTGGTTTTATTTTTTTATTTTTTTTGCCCAATAAGTAAATAACAATAGCTTTCTAACATCGTTTTCTTCAGACCATAGTTCCTGGTGCTGAAGAAGCTTCTGTAAATAAACCCACCATTTAAAAAATAAATCTGTGCATATTTTGGGGAGAAATCTAGTTCTGGTATTGTATCAGATCATAGTTAGAAAGGCTTAACTATGGTTCTGTGCGAGCGTTGAGTTAACAAAAGAAATGTACATATGTTAAAATGGCCAAAAACTCAGAATCCGAAATTGTGGTTTGGAATGGATTTGCAAATCGTGGTTTGTGTTTATGGTTTGACGTGATGTCTGTTGTGACAATCCATGGTTAAGGAGAGAGCTTGCAAAACAGCTTTTATAAAATACTTAATTTGGTGTATTTCCAAGGACCTCGAGGGTTGATTAATTCCTTGTTTTAGTCACCATTTTTAAAGAAACTGGTTTCCCATATTTTGAGGGGGGGAAGACAATACTTGCCTTTTAAAAGTTCCTTTAAAACATACATTTGAGTGCAGCAAGCTGCTCTCAGCTACCTGATTGTTGCATCAGCACCCACAATTGAGAGCTAGGCAACAGCCACACCCCTATAACTGACATTAAAATGGTTAATTTTAATTAACCGTGGATCTTAGTGATAGAAGAATCCCTGGATCTTAGTGAGAGAAGAAACAAATAAAATGGTTTGCTTGATAGGGGAAATTAACTACAGTAACTAAGAAGTAATTACAATGTTAAAGTTCAAAAAGGTAAAGTTATCTCTCATTACATTGTAATTGTAACTTTGTAATTCGATTGTGTATTAGTTGTTTAAAAGGACCTAATGATGAGTAACTAGTTTCTTCCAAGTTCTGATTCTGTCCTTTGCTCTCTGGAAGGGAAACACTACATCTGTAGAGGCAGGCATACTAAGTAGATGCACGGGTATCAGCTGTGGTTCGCCTGATTGGTTTGGAAGCCATTTTCGGTTCTAAAATGTGATTAGTGCCAATAACGACATGCTGTCACGTCTGAACTAAGCCACTTCACACAGTTGCCAAGGGCATAATTTTTAGGCAAATAAAACCAAAAGTTAGTCCAAGAAACTAGGAGTCATAGTCTTCCTTATACACATCCTATTTTTGCACATTCAGAAATTAAGAACAAATGTGCCTGTGGGTTTTTTCAGACTTCAAGGTACCACATAATTCATTGTTCCACATTATTTATTCCATTTCCAATTCTTCTTGGGTTTCTAACCATGCATTAAAAGAGAAAACACTAAAACACCAAATTGGATTTTCAAGTACCCCATTAAAATTATGAGGGTGACTTTCCTCATTTAGGATCAGGGCACACTTGGTTTTTATATGTCACCTTAGATGTAAAGATGTGTATTTCACGAAATGCTTCTCTTTTATTAAAATGATTATTGAATCTACGTGTACAGCCCATTCACATTTAGCCAAACTGGATGCAGGAGTCGTCTCGAGACAACTTTCTTACCAAACTTGCTATTCTAGTCAAACGAACTGAATTTGTGTTTTATTGGATAGTCCATTTGCACCAAGACTGTGGTGTGGGATTTTTCTTCTTTGTATGTTTTCCGTACTGTAAAACAAGTGGGGCTCTTTATCCCATTGGTTATGTTGGCTAGGGTTGGGTGGGAGGCAAGACCTTTGTCAACCTCTCCTCATTCTGGATGCATGTCTCAACCCTGTCTCTGAGACTCTGATTCAGAAACAGAGGCAAAAAAAGAGAAGGGGAAACCAGCTCTCTTTAAAAACGCTGTCCAGCTGCTCTGAGTAACCCAAGTCAGCCAATCCAGATCAGTCAATCTGGGGATCTTTCTGAGACGCTCTTGAGCTTGGGTTTTGGAAGACCGCCTAAGCAGAGGGAATTTGGTAACTGGAGGATGCAATGAACAGAAGGCAAAAGGAGATGAGAGAAAGGAGATTCTTGATTTACTTTTCCCCTTTTCAGGAAAAGCAGTTGATCTCAACTGCAAGATGTGGACAACCACAGGTCTTGGGCGTGCTGGAGTGGTTTGCTTGATAAGGGAAATACAAAGTGGTGCCTCGTGCAACGGTCGCTCCGTAGAGCGACAAATCCGCGCAACGATGCCGTTTTTGCGATCGCAAATGCGATCGCAAAACGGCACCTAGCAAGATGTGGACAACCACAGGTCTTGGGCATGCTGGAGTGGTTTGCTCGATAAGGGAAATATATGTTTTTCCCAATGTGGCAAATAATGGTAGGGGGTCCCAGGTCATTGGGGAGAAATCTCACAAAGAGAAGGCTTAAATTCTGACCCACGGTTATTTTGATGCAGTAGGGCTAGGATGATTGCTTTTTAGAAGACAGGTAAGGCAAAGTTGAGCATTGCTGGTCTTTCATATGTTGCTGAACAACTCCTGTGGTCCCTCTTCATTGGCTATCACTGTCTAGGGCTGATGGGAGGCAACATCCACCAACCTCTGGAGAGTCCCAGTTGCTCGCTTGTGGTGTAAAGAGAAAGCACAATATGAGTCATAAAGCTCCCGTTTTCTTGCCTAGTTGGGCCCTGAAATTGCTGGTCCTCTTCTCCTTGCTGCCTGAACCTCTCCTGTGACTTCTCTCCAAAGAAACACAGAATCTCTAATTCATCAATTCCCAACCTTGGGTCCACAGATGTTCTTGGGCTGAAACTTCCAGAAGCTTTCACTGCTAGCTGTGCTGGCCAGGATTTCTGGGAGTTGTAGTCCAAGAACATTGGGAATGATGAGCAAAAACCACTGCTCTAACGGAATATTCTCCAGGACACAAGTAGCAGTTACCGTTACTCTCATCTGTGGGGAAGAAACATGGAGGTGTACAATTCCATCACATGCATGGTGAGTTTTCTCTACACTGAAGCCAGACAGGATGTTCATATTGTTGCAAACCAGAAAAGAATGATGTATCTTTTTTTTAAAAAAGTCACATCGAACATTGGATGGATGGATGAGTGGGTGGGTGGGTGAGTGGGTGGGTGGGTTTGCGTTGGTTGATTGGTTGGTTGGTTGGACTTCTAAACCACCCATCTTACTGATGGTCACACCGAGTGTTGTACCAACCCTAAACAACTAAGAAACATATGTTCAAATTAAATAACAAATGAAAGTTAATTAAATGTTTAAAATTTAAGGCTGTCGGTGTTATACATACAATTCTAGTGGGGCTATTAGGCGTGGCATGATTGGAAAAGCCTGCCAGAAGAGTGAAGTTTTTAGAGACTTCTTAAAAATCTCCAGGGAAGCGGGGTGAGGTGAATCTCGGGCGGCAGTTCGTTCCAAAGCATAGGAGCGGCCACGGAAAAGGGCCCGGTATTGGTCACATGCCTTGAACAATGCTGTTGAGTAATTTTTTACGTCTGGTTGAACAACAACAACAGAAAACTAATTTAAACTGGAAAAATGAAACTGCAGAAGGGAAAGCCAAACCAAGGGCTGCTCCTATGGATCCCCGGTGACCTTTCGCAATCTGTGCCTAGCCAGGCTCCTTCTCCAAACAGATTTTCCAAGAGTGTGAAATTTCAGGCCCGTTGCCTTCTCCAATTGGGAGGTCTGCGTATTGATAGTTTTAACTCCGGTGACATCTGACACTGGCTAGACCCAGCGCAGACATGCTTCTTACCCCCCCCCCCCCCCCACCCACCTCCCGCCAGACTGGGTCTTTTCACCTGAGGCATTTCCAAGGATCTGATTTTAACAACAACAAAAAATGAAAGGCGCGATGACAGAATAATAGGACCAATTACAAGGCATCTCAAAGAAGCAGCCTCCTTGCTATTCACGACGACTCTTCTCTTCTTAATTGCTTCTCTGTGTATTCTTGCATGTGCAGGAACAACATGCGCACACAACGTAAGGCGGGCCACCTTGCACCTACAAACCGAATGAAGCTTTTCAAAATACATTTGCAAAAGGACTTGGCAGAATCGAGGAGGACCAACAGAGACACTTTGCCCCTGTCGGCCTCCCTCAATAAGTCATCACACAGGGCGACCAATGCCGTTTCTGTCCCATGGAGAGAAAAGGGAAAGAAAAGACTAAGCCGAAGTGGTAGAGAGAAAACACTCCTACCAGCTATCGGCGGCCATCTTGAAAAGAAAAAAAAATACACTTCCGAATCCATTACAGAGCCAAAACTCCATGGAGTGCCTTCATATCCGCAGGCCAAAAAATTGGTTTCTATTCAGGAGAGCTGTATGTAGACAATAGATTGCCAAGAAAAGGCGTTTTCATTTTTGTGTGTTCCTATGGCTTTTTAACGCAGTGTGTTAAAAATGCTCGTTCAACGAGTTGTGCTTTCATATTGTAACCTAGTTGTGTTTTCCAGTCTAATTATAAGCTACCTTGAACCCCACTTCTAGAAGGAACATGGGATGTTAGTCAAATCAATTTTTTAAAAGTCCAAGGAATGCTGAGTTGTAGAAGGCTGGGACTGGGTTTAATTGGGAGGCACTGGTTTTGCCTACAAGAACGTGACCCATCTCAGAGGAATGATTTCCAGAAATTCTATTTGGACTAATAAGAGAGAGGATAACGTTGTGGAAGATTAGTTTTAGTAAAAGCTGCGTTCTGGCCAACAAGGCAGGACCTCGGTGTTGAGTCGAGATCTCTGTTTACAGCCATAGCGAAATTCTTTGAACCAACAATGAAATTCTTCGTTTGTTATTGGCTCAGGAGACGGAAGGTGTACATGTTAGACTTTGGGAGGATTATGTTGTAATCAGATTGTGTCTGGGTAGTTTTATCCTTCTCCTATGTTCTGCTTGATATATTTCTTTAAAACACTAAACTCTGGTGAAAACATAACCCAGTTTTTTAATTACAAGCTGTGGCAAAACGGGCTTTATTACGGAAAGAAAAATGTTCATTCAGTTTGACATACATTGTAGGAATGGCATTAAATTCCATTGGCAAAAAAACCCCTGTAAAAGCAGTATTTGATGCTAGTATTTGATGCCTGTTTTTTAATCCCAGTTTCAGTGAAATTATATTTCATGTTGATGCAATCGAATGGCACAAGTCTACGTCATTGAAAAGGTTGACGTTACCTACCTTATGGCATCTTCCTCTTCCTTTTTCCTTTGCCTAGCTATGTGGTGAACATCGGCTTAATTGAAAAGCTGAGCTCCTGTTTCCTTTCCGTCCAAGGACCGATTGATGAAAACTCTAAAATAGCCAGTTTCCTGCAGAACGCAACAGAAGCCCTGCGTGGGGTTTGCCGACTGTGTTTTGCCGTCAATGGCAGGTAAGGGGTGGGTGTGCTTTTTTTTTAAACTCTGTTTTTATTTGGCCATCATGAGAAAGGGGTGGTGGGGATGCTGGTTGCATTTGGTTGTAATCCGAAGTACGTATATTCCTAATTACCATGTGTTTTACATTTGTTTACATGTGTGATGGCTTAACATTGCTTAAGTTTAGTTGTACTTTAATATCAGTATCTTCATTTATTGTGATTTTAAACTGTGGTTTCGGTATCTGGCTGTTGAGCCAGAGGTTGAGAATTCAGTTCCTTCCTCTGCCTCCTGCTAATAGAGCCAAGCTCTGTAGCCATGGGCAAGCTGGAGAGTTCCAGGGCTCCTCCAGAAGAAGGGAATGGGAAATTACTTTGACCACATGCTGTGGATATTAAGAAACATCAGGAGCAAAAGTAGACTCAGATATTGTTCAGGTCTCCAAGGTCAAAATGTATCCTGTAAATAGTCCACCGGTGTTCCAGAGGTCTCCATGACTGAGCAATCCAGTTTGCAAATAAAAGTCTGTACAGTGGTGCCTCACTGAACGATGTTAATTCGTTCCAGTGAAATGGCTGTAGAGTGAAAACGTCGTAAAGCGAAAATAAAAAACCCATTGAAACGCATTAAAACCCGGTTAATGCGTTCCAATGGGATAAAAACTCACTGTCCAGCGAAGATCCTCCATATGTCGGCCATTTTCAGTGCCTGTATAGTGAGGAATCTGTCCCTAAGCACAGCGGAGAGCCATTTTGAGCACCTGGCGGCCATTTTGAAAACCCAACGATCAGCTGTTTTGATGGTTGTAATGCGAAGAATCGGTTCCCGAAGCAGGGAACCGATCTTCACAAAGTGATAAAAACCATTTAAAATATCGTTTTGCGATCACAATTGTGATTGCAAAAACATCATCATGAAGCAGATTCGTCGTAATGCAGGGTAATCGTTAAGCGGGACACAACTGTTTTTAACTCCAGTGGCCAATCACAGAAGAAAGAATGCCCACATGCAGAGTCCAGGAGGCGTGAAAAGTCCATGCTGTGATAATCAAATATCTCTCAACACTGAAGGAATTCCCTTTTCTAATTAGCATTCCATCTGGAAAGTATAATTAGACCCTTCATATTATGGGGAGATTGGCCTAGTACCCCAAGGCTGACTCAACTCACAAACTAGTAGTATTAGCATCCTCTGATTGAGATCAAGGAAATTAGCTTGTAAACTATATACAGTGGTGCCCCGTATAGAGAGGTTAATCCGTTCCGGATTAACCTTCGCTATACAAAAACATCGCTGTGCGGGTAAGGAAAGCCTATTGGAACGCATTAAACTTAGAGGCAGGGGGTGTGCGTGTGGGTCAGACCAAAGCCACCAGCCATTTTGAATAGGTGTAAGGCAAAGTGAAAGACTTAAAATGGCCGCGGATGGCCCGAAATGCCCCCCGCAGCGTTTTCGCGACCTCCGTAAGCAAGGGGAGGGCGCGAAAACACTGATAGGGGCCATTTCGGGTCATCCGGCAGTCATTTTGGAGCCGCCGATCAACTGTTCGGCGGCTCCAAAATGGCCGCCGGACGCCCCAATCGTCGCAAAGCGAGTGCAGCGATTGGGGCTGATCCGTATAGCGATCCCCAAAAAGGGATCGCTATACGGATTCTTCGTTAAACGGTGCGCTCGTTAAGCGAGGCACCACTGTACATTTGGCTTGTTGGGTCCCACCCCTAAGTAAGATTGCACTTTCAGAATTCTAGAATTTGCTTTGGAATAGAATTAAGAGGAGAAAGCAGGTATCATGGACAAAACAGATCGTGTGAATGAACAAGAAATGATAATTAGAGGTTTCTGCTAGGAACCTGCTGTCATTCTGCCCTGGATAGATCCAGGGTTGTCTTAATTTTGGCTGTTAACAGGGTTGAGCCTGAGTAATAATTGGACAGGAGACCACTTGAGAGATCCAGAAGAGGCTCAGAACGAGCTGCCGCTGCTACTCAGGGTTGACCACATGGATTGGATGAACCAAGTACCAGCCAATTTTGAGTGTTTTTAATTAAATCAAGGCATTCAGACAAATATGTATGAATTCTGCTCCCATGACAACCTTTAAAAATGATGGTTGTACCAGCAGGTACAGCGAAGGACACCCGGACTATGCTCGCCACTTGAATCTTAAAGAGTCTTTCGGTTCCATAAACTTTTTGCTGTTCAAGTGAGGGAATCCATAACTCCAAGATGTATGTGTTTGCAATGAAATATGGCTCTCTTTTTCCATTTTATTGGCATTGTCTTAAAATTGATTTAACTGAGTTGAACTTGCCTTTCAAGATATTTCACTTTTATATATATGTGTATGTATCAGTTAATAATGTCTGCGGATTTTTAAAGAGGACATTGAAAGCCCCATGGCATGTCCTTAAGAAAAAGCTTCACTGTTCTAACTTTTTCTGTGGTTAAACAGCTCACTGCGGGTTTCCCTGGGCAACCTTTATTTTTTAAAGTAACTTCTCATGTTGGCTTCTGGGCCGACGTGTTTTTTTGAGAGGGTGGGCGAGATCCAGATAAATGGAAAGGGTCACAGTACTTAGTGTTTGGGGCTTCCTGAGAGATAGTAGACCTCTTAATGTTTCGGTTAAGAAATTTAATTTTTGAATGTCATCATGGCGGTTTAAATGAATTTTATTTTCATTATTGCATTTGACTATAACTTGTTTAACAGGAAGTCTGTTCTACAGATGTCACAGCCAAGGTGATAAAAGTTTCCGATCGCCGTTTTTTATCTTCCAGATTGTTTGCTTTCATTGTAATTGTTTAAAAAAAAAAAATACAAAGATTTGAAAAATAATAATACCAGATTCTGTTATGTGAAATGAAATAATATTGTGCATCCAATATACTGTGTGCACTGAAAAGGAATATTTGGCATTCAAACTAAAGCACTCAATGTGTTTCTTTGTACTTTATCAATTTATCCATGTTATTTTTATTTTTGCAAGAATTTTAGAAGTTGGTGGCGCTGGAGTTTTCCAGTATTTCGTTATTACAGCCTTTGCAGACTAAAACATTGGCTCCCGCTTTGTAACAGGGCATAGATTCATCTTCCTCCTGCAGGCTTCCTGGCAGTTTCCACCCGTATATTTTCAGACCCAGAGCTTCTTGTCGCGTTGCACTTGAGATCCGGTTTTAAAAACCGTGCAAGCCCACGACACCAATAGAGAGTGGTTTCATAGGCACCCCGGATTAAGATGTTAAATCGTATTAACAGACACAAGCGTTGCTGGATTTAACACGTCTTGGGCCCAATCCAGCAATCCGTGAAGCTACCGGGAAGTGGTCCAAATACGTTAGCAAGCTTCACGTTACGTTTTATAAGGATTTTGCATCAGAGACTATAAAACTGAGTAACGGTAACAGGCATTACACTGGAGTGGTTTGACGGTGCAGAAGAGCCTCTCCGTCCTGATCAGGCACACACATAAAAATCTACAAACAACTTGCTGAGAAACAGCCTTCTCTCTGCCTGTCCGCCTACCTATTTCCAGAGCAAACCCAGGTGTTTTTCACAAAGAGGACCTGACATCTTTTCCAACACAGCGACAACGTGTTGAGTGCTTGACAGTAGCCAATTAACCTTTGAGGCTGAGTTGTCAGCTACCTCGCCGTAGAATATGCTAGGAATTTTTGTGTGTGCAAAATAAGGAGAGGTTGGGTCAGAGGGGTCTAACCTGCTTTGTATTTTGTTTTATCGTTGTAATTAAGATAATGCCTCTTTTGGCTGCCGGGTGGCAAATAAAAGACCAGCAATCTTGCTTGAGTAGTGATTGTTCTGGTCTCTGCTGCCAGTAGGCAGCAGCAGATTCAGCAAAAGTTGGGACCGCCAGGCAAGAACACATAAAACCTGGTGAGAAGGGAGAGAGAAGCAAGTGGAAACCCCAAAGGCTCTCTGGCGTGTCTTTCCTTCCAATGGGGGGTCCTCCGCCACTCCCCATTGATCATTCCCCATTGGGGCGCCACCTTCGCATTTACTCTATGGGGGCTGCATCATACCCCGAATTTGACATTGTGTTCAGAATAGTTGCAAAAAAACGGAGAGGTGGGCTTTTGGACGTGGTTCAGGGGTCTTTCTTGAGATGGTCTGGTTTGCATTAGGATGGTAAGTGGAGAGAGCACAGTTTAATAATTGTTAGCGTTGGGCGGGATCCAGAGTTGCTAAATCCCACTGAAATCCATGGGATTTAAGTATGGCAAGCCCTGCTGGACTCCCTTGGCTTCTCCCAGGCTGGCTAATTCATGGCTTCCTCTTCTGACAAAGGGTTCTGTGTGGTCTACGGTTGCCAGCTTTGCTGGGCTAAATTTAGACGTCTCTCATCCTTCTGTTGTTAACCCCAAGGTACCCAGCATGGGGCCGGCTGAGCTAGAGCTCAGGCAAGTTCTCTGTTCGGACTACATGTCCCATGAATCCCTGTTCCCCTCATCACAGTATGAGCTGTGTTGATGGAGAGTCGATTCTGGAAGTTGCACTCTCGAAAAGTAATTTTTCCAAATTCTAGGCCATCCTCGTGTTTTGTTTTTGATGAAAATGTAGGTGTAAGGCAGGAGGCAAGGAGGGTTGAATGTACTCGCTCTTACTAGATCTGTGGAAAGAAGGGGCCCAGATCTACAGGTTTGCCTGTGGGGGAGGCAGGGTGATGAAGCACTTTATCATCATCGTAGAAGTGGAGAAGGCAGGGTGATGAAGCACTTTATCATCATCTTAGAAGTGGAGAAGGGATCCTCTAGATCATCAAGTCCAGCCCGTCAAGGAAGCACCGTAGGGAATTCAACTCCCAACCTCTGGCTCCGTGGCCAGATGCCTAAACCACTGAGCTATGATATGCACTTCCACAAAGCGGGGGCCCTGTTCCTCACAGCCCCTGCTGTAAATGTAAATTTGGAAACCCTGAGAGTACCCTCCCCACACATACCATTTCTGACTGGCATCTTACATTCACCCTAAATGAAAGTTGCCTTCGGTTTCTTAATGACAGTTCCAGCCTTCGGGGACGTAAAAAAGTTCATTCTTTCCTGGACAGTTAAAGGAGCTACCATCCCTGTAAGTCAAGTGTATCTTCAAACCAAAATGACTGCTTTGGCTTTTAAATCCTCCAAGGCTGGGCTCTTGCGGAATAAATGAAGAGAGTATTTGAGGAGTTTTCGGTTCCCTCCTGTGTCCTTAAAAGGGCTTGCTGGTGGATCTGCCTCTTAGCACACTTGTTGCTACCTGGGTTTTTGACAGAAAAGTGGGATATCCATTACGCTAAAGAGAGAAGAGGAGGAGGATTGAAGAGCGGCTCTCACAGCGTTGGTCCTGTGTTGCTTTCCTTGATAGGTCTTGGACTATTTTTGAAGAAGCTCATCAGGATCCCACCGGACTGACCGCCGCCCTCGAGGCCACAGACCTGGTTGGGGTGTTGCATATGCTCTACTGCATTTTGTTCCACGGGACAGCCACCGATCTGAACGCAGCTAGCCCGAAAGAGAGTTACGGAGAGAATACCGTCCAGGTGGCTCTTCAGAGTTTGCGCTTCTTCAACAGCTTTGCTGTTCTGGATCTGCCAGCTTTCCAGGTAAGACTTCTCCTCTCTCTCACCCAGCGACAGGTTTCGTCTCGGCGTTACAGGAGCGAGCACCCGGGACCTGAACTCTGTATGCTGTCTCCTCCTTCCTGCTTGCCGATACCGTGTGGCTTGTCCTAGCACAGGGGTGGGCAACGTAAGCCCTGTGGGCCGTATTACACCCCCAAGGGGCATCTCTGTAGCTCCCAAGGCTACCCTTGATCCCTTCCCATGAGAAATATCCCCCAAATATATTATACTTTTGACAAAAAAAAATACAGACACGTGTCTGCTTCTGAAGTCTCCAGGAGCAGTGGTTTTCAGGTTAGTCAACTAGGGTGAACTCCAGGATTCTCCCCCTAAAGACGCACAAATAGAAAACAGAGGTGGTTTGTTTGGTCCTGGGCTTCATTTGGGGATTAATGGCATTTTATGACCATTTCTGGACCCAGTACGGTGCCCTGTAGGGCCAGAATCAGTCCCCCGAAGCCTCTGACACCGCCCGCCCTTGTCTGATCAGATCGGCAAACCATGGTTCGTGCATGGCTTACAATTCCAGATGGGGGAAACCAGGGTTTGATGCTGAGGGAGGAGGGACATGCGAACAAGCCAGAGGGCTAGCACATTCCCATAACACCTGCCCTTGGTTTGGCCTTTCTGAACTACTCAAGTCACGTGACAGAATTTAGAACAGACCCCATGACAGGTATGTTTATATTGCAGTGGAGCCAGTGAACTGCCTCTCTCAACTGTCAGGCCTTTTTGTGCCAGATACTTGTGACTCTGAAACGTCATTGCTGAAGATACAAAGAATGGTGTCTGCTATGGGGGGGGCACACTGGGCCAGAGGAATGGGCTAAATCTAGAGTTTCAGAACACCTACAATTTTACAAAAATACCTTTTACTAGCTTAAGAGGCCTTTTGGATCCAGGCAGTTGTACCAGTTTAGTAGAGGGCCAATCAGAAGCAAAATCTGTTTCCATTTTGCATGTGGGAATTTCTCTTTCCTTTAAAAATCAAGCACGCCTATTTAACTACTCTGGAACTCCAAGGGGTGGGCTTTTGGGAGTCTTACATGTACAATGGAAATCTTTTTTTACCAGATTCCACTTGTACAATGGGATCAATGCTGTCATTGGTAGTGGGTGGCCGCTGATTAAAGACTTCCTCTTTTTTTTTTTTCAATTTTGGGGTGTGTGCAACTTCATCTCTTTGCTTGCAATCTGGGTGCACCCTGAAATTTTTAAAAGTGAGTTTCTAATCAGTAGCATTCTCTACTGGCAGTGGCATCATTCCCATAGCACAGTCAGAGTGGTGCAGCAGGATTTTGTCCTCTCTCTGTATTTATAAGTATGGCCAAGCTGAAGACACAGCTCTAATTGAGGGCTGCTGGTCATCGCTGTTCATTTGTACATTTTTCAAATATTAAGCTTTTTTTTAAAAAAAAAACACCAGTAACTTACAGTCCACACACACACACACACACACACACACACACACTTTTCAGAGGGGCTGTCAGTTGAACACGTAGGGGAGGCATCTCGCTCAAGTACCAGACCACGGGCAGCCTGGACATTCTTATAAGCACAAACCATCCCCAAGTTCATAGGGTACCTTTTCCATTTATCTTGAGAGTCTAAACAAAGGGAAGGTGTCAGGGAGAAGCAATGCAGGACCTACTGAGCTGCTATTAGAACTGGTTAAAGAGGAAATACATAGTTTCCCTGAAAAATGACTTCTTACATTTATATACAAACGTCCGTGCCCCCCGGCCTCCGGTTATCAAGGTAGAGTAAACACGGAGCACTCGGATGAGAGAGAGCCTATGCAAACGTGTGTTGTCTAAAAAGGACTGGACCCAAGAAGATGTCACCGCGTTAACTCCCTGTAGCAAATTTTTCGGGCCCAGCAAAGCACAGTGCCCAGTCCAGTTGAAGAAGTGTGATGATGACTCTGGACACACACGCCTCATTCCTGTGGTGTTTACATGGATGTTCCTCCAAGACGTGTTTGGTGGTTAAGGAGGAGAGGTCTATCATTGTGAGTGGGAAGGCAGTTTCCGCTTGATCTTTATTTTTATTTACAATGGTGCCTCGCAAGACTGTTTTAATTCGTTCAGCAAAAATCGTCATGAAAAAATTGTCTTGCGAGGTTCGGGAACCTCGCAAGACGAATGAAATTTATTCGTCTTGCAAAGCATCGGTCTCGAAAAAACGTCTTGTGAAGCATGGTCATAGAAAAAACCATCTTGCGAAGCGCCATAGGGATCGCAAAAACCAATCATCTTGGGAGTTTTTCACCCCACAAGGCAATTGTCTTGTGAGGCAACACTGTATTTAAACTATTTATAACCCACCTTCCTCCTTTAAAAGGACCCAAGGCGACTTACAACAATCCAAAGACGGTAATTAAGCTCATCACAGTGAGTATCCGATAACACTAGGATCTATAAATACCATACCAAAAAACATAAGCAACACCAAAACACCTTCAAATGCAATAAGGTACAACAACCAATTTTTAAAAACCCACTCAGCAGCCATTCACTCAGAGAAGGCTTGCCTCAAGAGAAAGGTCTTTGCCTGCTTGTGGAAGGACAGCCAAGATGAGGCTAGCCTGGCTTCCATTGGGAGGGAGTTCCGAAGCCTGGGAGCAGCCACAGAGGAGGCCCTCTCCCGGGTCCTGTGAAAATGGCAATACCAAGAAGAAGGTCTCCTGAATATTTCAACACTCAAGCAGGCTCATAAAGGGAGATGCGTTCCTTAAGACAACTTGGGCCGAAGTTAAAATACCAACCTAGATTCATCTACCTTATTCGGTTTGGGATGTGAAGTGGCGTCAGACCCAGATAATACCTGAGTGGGAAATTGCCAGCTAAGTCCAGGGATTTCCAGGTAGGGCTAGAAGGGAGTCCTACCAGAAATTTCTGGGGGACTGCTGCCGGTCAGAGTTGGCAATATTGGGATAGAGGGCCCAGTGGTCCAACTCAGTATGGGCAGCTAGCTCTCTAGATTTCCTGCATTCCTGTAAGAGAATTTATGAATGCCATTCATTCGGAATGGCACCACTCAATGCCCGAATGTTGCTGGGCAGCATAAATGGGTGGACATGCTACCGTTCATGTAAGGGAGGGTGCTGTTCTGTTCATATCCTACTTGGGAGTTTCCCGTATGCATCTGCCTGGTCACCATCTGAACCCTCTTGTTGGATTCAAGAGCTTCTGGCCTGCTCCATCCAGGCTATTTTTAAGATCTTGCAACACAGAGCTTTGAAGAGTGGAATTACTAGCATGTGTCTATTAACACTCAAAATGGAAGTCCTCTCTCTCTCTCTCTCTCTCGTTTGAAGCTGATCTGGGAGGTGGGAAAGCAGCAGTGGGCGGCGATCCAGCTTTGCCCAAAATTTTGGACTGTTTCGCATCTGCTCTTCCAGACGGCTTGAGCCAGTCTGTTTTGGCTCCCTGACTTACAAGACAGGGAGCCAAGGAAACATAAATGACACTTATTTTCCCACAGGCCTGTAGGGTTGTTTCATTCAAGGGAGTAGACTTTGATGTTCGTTCCTCATGCATCATTTCTCCCCTTTGACCCTGTGTCGCTTTTTCTGGCTGACATGTTTATTAAATAGAAGCCATGAGCTGCACAGATAAAGTGGGCTTCTCCCCGTTCGCTCCGTTCTAAGCGGGCGAAGAGGGAGTTTCTCGTCCCCGGCCTGCAGATGTGCAAAACGTTGACTATATTTCACCAGATCATTATTTTAAAAGTATCACTCCAGGCAAGGGAGATCCCACTGCAAAATTTCCAGACTTGGAACCGGGGGCGGGGGGGTGTGCGTGTGAAAAGAGGTTCCCTGCTTCCTGCTAATTTCTCCAAGAGGTGGAGAAGGCCCTGGTGAGTTTAAGGAGGCAGCTACGGCCCATCTGTCAAGCAGCGTTCCAGGAACAGCGGCTCTCTTTAAATACAGAAGTGCACATGCGAAAGACCCCTTTGAGAGTGGAAGAGGCTGCCTAGCTGAGCCTCAGGCCCGGCCCAGCAAGCATGGCTGGATGCTCTGGTCTTAAAGAGATCGACACAGCCAGCCCTTTCAACGTGAAATACCAGCTGGATGAGGCACCATGGGAGGTGGCGTCGGATCAACTGTAGGAAGCTCCTTAAGTTAAAATTGCCCCCCGTTGCTCTAGCGCCATCCATGTGCACGGCACTTGATAGAGTGTAGGGGTTCAGATCCCTGCCCCGAAGAGTTTACATTCAAGAATTCTTCGCAGGGCAGCAACAGAGAAAAGAAGATGATAGAAGCTGTAGTAAATACATACATGTGTCTTTCAATAACACTAAAGAATGCAATGTTACTTTAAAATCTAATGAGTTTTATTTAGCATAAAGTTTTCTGGACTGTAGCCCTCTTCGTCAGAAGTGGTCCGCAAAAGTTTGTGCCCTATTAAATTTAGGATCAAGTGCTTTCTCAGGTGACACTGTACTCTTTACTGTTGTAAAGGCCTAGTATGGCTTTCTCTCTAGAAGTATGAAGGCTTAATTACGGTAGGATACCCTGAGAAAGAGGTTGGATCAAAGACTACTCTGAAAAAGTAGGTATGGAAGAGAAGAGTAATATTTATTGGTTGATTCTTGAGATTATTTGTAGTTGTGCAGGAGGAAATGTAGCATTCATCGGTTGACTTATTTAGAATATTTGTATACTGTTTTTCAACAGAAGGTTATCAAAGTAGTACACGCTTAGTTTTAGAAATATGTTTGAATAACATGATAGACATTCTTGGTTCCACTTGCAGGGAGGGATCATCACACAGATGGTCTGGGACGCAGCTCCAGGCATAAATGGAACCAAGGAATCCAGGAGGTGAGATCATTACAGCAGGCAGGGACATGTTAGTGCAGATGTTCCCCACCTTGGGTCCCCTGATGGTCTTAGACTTAAAAAAAATGCCCAGAAGCCTTCACCTCTGCTGGCTAGGATTTCTGGGAGCTGTAGTCCAAGAGCATCTGGGGGCCCAAGGTTGGAACCCACTGTATTAGGAGTAGAGAGATAAAAGTTGAGGCTGAGTAAGGTCACAGAGTGTTTTTGAATTTTTTGATGGACCTGAAGCAGGAGAACGGCCAGAAAAAGATAACGACTTAGATGAGGAAGGGATACGCAGGCTGACAGTAAAGAAGGACGCCATGAGTGCATAGGAGTAAAACACTGATTGAGCTAGGAGCTACAGGTAGCATTAAAAGAAAAAGCTTGAGAAAGTTACTTTGAAAAATAATTTCTATAGTTAACAGATCCAAGACTGGAAAAAGTAATCAGTCACTGTTACATTTACTGTACAAATTTATTCTACAACCAAAGGCCCAGTAACTGTTTGTATTTGTCAAAAGTAACGCCTCGTGTTCTGCTTTTTCGTTACATTGGAGGAAAAATCATCAGAAAGCCAGAAGCTACTGATTTGTGGTACAAAAATCCTTTTGCACCTGGAAATTATTAATGAATGGTATATTTGACACTCTTGCTAAACTTACAAATGATATACATATATATTTGGGCTTCTTCCTTTTTTTACCCCAAACTGTCATTAGAATTATGCTGTCTTAGAACATAATGTTCTTACACGTCGGTCTTGTGATGATGAAACATTGCCTGCCATGTCCTCGTTGCTCTTTTAAAATGAACATTCCCATTTTATTTACCGTACCACATGCATCATGCTGGAAAGATCAGATTTAAATGGAGACAATGCTCTGCTAAACAAAAACTAAAGCCCCCTCTACCCATAGACCTTGTGGAAATGGTTTGTCCAGTCTATGCATTCCTGAGCATGCCTGTCCTAAATTCTGGCTTAAATCACTCCTCTGTTCAAGGCGCAACTTTGGATATATGCACCCTGTTGAAGCCATCATGAATATTATGATGCCCGGGTGGCAGATCTGTGATTTCTCGACAGCCCTTTTCATACGTTTCATTCAGGATCTGCAATAAAGTTAAGAAATCTCCGTAGACATTATCAATCGCACGCTGAGTCGTGCAACCCAAGGCTATACCGGAGCAACTAGGTGAGAGGATTTTGTCCCCAGTGTCGTCAGGTGGACCTAGAGAAGCCACACGTGGTCCTGTATTTGCTTGCTGTTCCTCTCAGTGAGCCTGTGTTTGGTCCTGTTGTTTCACAGACAATAATAATTCAGAGCAAAGTCAGCATTGACATGATGGCGAAAAGCTTCAGTCAGTTCTGACCGGTGTTGTAGCTTCATGGGCAATAAATTCTAAATCCTTTTCCTCTGATGGTAGTTGCTTCAATAAGAGTAGCGGAGGAAAGGCAGCTTAAAACAGTGTTTTGGATCCATCCTAATCAAGACGTCAAAGATCCCTGAAAATCCAAGGGTTTCCCCAGTCCCCGAATTTTTAAGGCTATTATATTTTTACCCAAGGCTATTTTAAAAAGAGCCTTAAACAAATCAACACAACTAAGAGAACCATGAGACACAGCCTAGGAGCATTATGATTATTATGTCTCTCTCTCTCTTTCTCTCTCTCTCAGTCGATTGTCGGGGCTGAAGGCTTGTCCCTTGCATTCCGGCACATTGTGAGCTCTTTGTTGTGGTACTGCTCCCAGCACACCTGCGAGGCACTACTGCATGAAGTCATTGTGTGTGTTGGCTATTTCACCGTCAACCACCTGGATAATCAGGTAAGCACCCTGGCTGCAAGCGTATTGTTCACCTGAGCTGCCAGCTGTGGCCAAAGCAGATGCTTTGTCCTTTCCTCGCAGGGTGATTCCACAAGAGAAGCTGTTGCAAGCCACCTGTCTTTGCTTCTGTTTATAGACAACCCGCCCCTCTTTAAAAGCAACATGAGATGTTCCAAGAAAACATGATTAACAGAATTAGAATCCAGTAGTCAGATTGTATTCCCAAGGATCAATGTCTGGGTCAGCAAGTGCAGTCATCGTGGTGGGCAGAATTTAATTCAAGGGAGATTGTCCCTCTTAAATTTAATCCTAGGGTTTTACACTTGGATTCTCCTGGAGGTGTCAGATCCTGAACCTGGGCCTTCTGCACGCAATGGTTCTGCTCTGCTCATCTCAGTAGCGACAGCTTCTCCCTCCCCTTGTAAGCGTATACCAGTAACTGATAGAATCGCGATGTTCTTTGGCTGCAGTCCATTAGGATGATGACTCATGCAAGGCTTTGGGGCTCCTCAAAAGCGCCACTTGGCACGTGAAGCAGGATCTAGTCCCAGTGAAGCAGAGGCCAAGAAGCTCCACTGAGCGTCTGTTGCTTCTCTCGGCTGCTCTTTGGACTCCCCTTTCGTTGATGTGTTCATCGCACACTCCCAGGAGTGGGAATTGTCTCCTTCAAATTCCCAGTGCAAAATAATGAATAAAAAAGCTTGCTTGGTATCCAGAACATGCTGGGAAATGTTGCCCTCCCTTCCACATGTTGGTCGCCTTTGCGTTTTGCTTCTCTGGCACCCATTGAGAGGCAGATATGATTCCTTAGAAATGCGGAAGTGCCAGGAAGATGGGCATGATGTGCTCTGGCGGCTGGCCCTTGCACCCTAGGTAAAGGCCTGGCCGACGTACGAGCAGGCAGCATGCCAGCCTGACAGGTGGCCTTTGTATGGACAGCCAAGAGGCAGAAGCCAAGGGCTGTCTCTCGCGTCTGGGCCGTCTCGGCTACGGTGCTGCAGTCGCTTTCAAGACATGGGAGACGGATGCTTAAGGGCGTGTGCCATCAATTCTGTTTATGAAGCAAATGCTGCAGTCGCTTTCAAGACATGGGAGACAGATGCTTACGGGCAGCTGAAGGTGTGGCCAGTGTCTGGATGGTAGGCCCCTCTTTCATAACAGACACACAAACGTAGGTACAAAACCGAAATGAAGTGTTCCTTCGGTGCTTCCACACTTTGGCACACAACTCTTGCAAGAACTGCCAATGAGTTGTCATGTGTTCAGTGGCCACCATACCTTTGCAAGGAACTGTGGAATCAATCACAAGGGCTCCTGTTGTTAACAAATAGCAGGTGTGGGTATTTTGTCTCAGCCACACAGCAGAATGATTCATTCAGCTACCAGGGCACGGAAAATCCATTTCCTTCTCTATTATCCATGGGTTAATTTCCAAGAAACAGCTAGATAGTTTAGGACACTATGCCCATCTGCAAAGTTCGGAACTAGAGGCAAGACAAAATTAATACCTGCAATAGCCTTCCCATTAAACAACCTGTAATGGGATGCGACCAGATCATAAGTTTTAAGATGCACAGCGAATTCAACACCACTGGTTGTGCTTGTAGGGACCTTCTGAGCAATTGGTTCACATGGACGCGTCGTTGCTTTGGAGGGAAAGGGAGTCTTGGTCCCCGTCGGTTCCAGAGTGGGCCAAGGAGGGGAAGGGGCTTTCTCTAGAAGGCTGTACACCAGCACCACCTGCGATCTGGCACGGTTCATATTCTCTATTATCCAAAGTGAAGTGTATTTACTTAACAGGTCCCCCGACAACATAGATGAGGGCGTAAGGGAAAACACAGCAATAAGAATAATGCCCCTGTCTTTGAGTAAGCCAATCAGAGGCTTACAGTAAGATTATGGTTTCTAATTAAAAATGTTGCTGTTAATTAACAAACTCTTTGTATCTTGAGATGCTTTCCATTTTCTCCTCGCTAGCCGATCTAATTAATGAACCCAATTAGCATGTGTTGTCAACTGTTGAGTCCATTTGCATTTTATATTGGGTAATTGAATGTGGCCTGATAATTAAATTAACACAAATGACAGATGAGTTGGCTTCATCCACATTACTGTATTGGGAATTAAAACAGACGGAATAGGAAAAGGAAGCCACACGTATTTATTGTTGTCAGTGAATGTTTTTAATTTGGCAGATCTTTGCAAATTGAAGTAATTGAACCTCTCATCTTCTGTGGTATAGTACAAAGATGGCTAGCACTGTTCATTTCTCCCAGGGTGCTCCCAATCATAAATCTGAACGTAGGACTGCACCCTATAATGTCAACCTTGTATTTCCCCCCATTTCATCCACCCGACAAGCCAAAAACTCTGGAATTATAGTGCTGAAACTTTGTAATTCTGAATCATACGTATTTGGCATGGACCGGCATAGAATTAGTGGCTTGGGGAAAATATTTTTAACGGCCTACCTCTGTATTTAAAATCCTGAATGGCAATTCCATAAACGGTTAGCTCAAATAAGATTGTATCCTGAACCGGAAGCTGTTCAATAGTGTGAACTCTGGGCGTTAGGCAATGGCCCAAATCCTCATGCGTAGCTGTGCAAATGCTGCAACTTTTAGAGGCAACTTGTCCCAAGTTAAGAAATCTCCGTAGACATTATCAACATTTGCTCATCTTCTGTCCCAACTCTCTGCTGAGCATGGCCTCGTGTCTCCTTTGGCCCAACTCCTCCCTTGTAAAGCTGCGCAGGTGAGCGGTAGCAAGGCACAGAAAGATTACAGCAGTTGTGGATTTTAATGTAGACATACTTGTGTGGCTTCATTTGCTGGCATCTTTCTTTGGGGGGGGGGGGGAGAGTTTCATCCTTCCTTCTTGTGCCATTTTCTTCCTTAAAACAGTGTGTGTTTAATCCAGAAAAGAAATGTTTCAATGCTCTGGCATGAGGCGATCCCATCCTATCTGGGCTATATGTGTGTGTTTTGGGGGGGGGGGCAAGAGATTCTACAAGTAGATCATAGAATTATTGAGAGAGAACATACATTCGCTCATCTTCTGTCCCAACTCTGCTGAGCATGGCCCAAGTTAAGAAATCTCCGTAGACATTATCAACATTTGCTCATCTTCTGTCCCAACTCTCTGCTGAGCATGGCCTCGTGTCTCCTTTGGCCCAACTCCTCCCTTGTAAAGCTGCGCAGGTGAGCAGTAGCAAGGCACAGAAAGATTACAGCAGTTACGGATTTTAATGTAGACATACTTGTGTGGCTTCATTTGCTGGCATCTTTCTTTGCAAATTAACGGATTTATTCTGGGAGGCAGATTTTAAGTCTGACTTGGCTTTTGACAGGATGCCCGCCTTGCTGCCCCTGAAATGAAGAATACTCCCAGTAACTAGATGAAAAGAAAACTCACACATCAAATGCCCTTTTCACATGCTATTGTTGCCAGGGGAAAATAGCGTGAACTGATCCTTTTTAAATCTTGGAAACTGACTTTTCAGTATCGTCAGCCATGCCACAGGGGAATTTTTTAAAAAAAAACCTTGAAAATTATTAAAAGACAGTGAAGATCTTTTATCTGAACAAAAGGTGAAGATTGAAAGCTAGAGAAACGGGACTTTAAAGAACCTGGCCTAAGCAATGACATACCCTTCTAATTAAAAGCTTAAAAGTCTGGGATTTGTTTATAGACAAGCAAAGAAACAATGCCGATCTGACGAGGGAGAGAAAGAGCTGGTAAGGGTCTAAGCTACTTCAAGGTACAAGTTCTTTTATGAAGTCATAAATAGCTGCACAGAGACTCCAGCATTTAAACGGAAGCTTGCACTCCTGGGAATTATATACTGCTGACGTTTTGATTCCAGTCGCTTTGAAATGACCAAAATCCTTTACGGAGTCAGTAAGGAGAAAGGATAGAGCCAGAGTCTCCGTCTTCTGCTCTGGGAGATCAACAGCCCAAGCATTTCCGATCGTTGTGTTCCAATTTGTGTAGCAAGCAGGCTTGGAGAGAGGCAGCCGGGTGGCCTTTTAGATCCATTAGCTTTTTAGCCTGAGCGTTCCTAGGAGACTTGCCTCTGGATTGGGAATAAATAGCTGTGGAAGAACATGGCCTAGTAGAAGCGAGCGTGTTTTTGCACTTTACTTAACACAACATTCAACTTCGGTGCAAAGAAAGCGTTCTTGTAGCAGCCAGTTCAGTTTCCCATGAGAACTCGTAGTTCATATGGCATAGAATATCTTTGTCGTAGAGTATAAAGTACCATGTCCTTCCCTTGGGTTTAAAAATAAGGTTAAATTCCTGATAGTAGAAGCCTTCTGTGTTTTTTTAAAAAAATTACTGAATTAATCAACTCTTATTCATTCATATCAAAGTCCTGCATTATTTAAAAAATATGGACATCTATGAAATATAGGTAAAGATTAAAAACAAATTAAAATGTTAAAATAAATAGGCTATTTTTAACTAGAAACAACCTACTTCAATGTTATAATCTCAGTCGTTTGCTAAATCTCGTTTTGTACACGTGGTGAGGCATAAGTGGCATGCATGGAAGCACTGCATGGATTGAATTTCTCCACAATCACAGAAAATTTGTCCTGTATCCAAGCAGTCCCATTTTACTTGATTATTCTTTGATCTGCCTACTTCACTTTGAAGTCTAAGTGGCTTCCAAACAGTCCGGCCAGAGTCTTGTCCTGATGGATCCTCTTTGCCATTCATCCCCTTGGCAAAGGGTGCTATTTTTGTTCCCCATAGATTGAGCCCTTAGCCTCTTCTGGTTTAATATTTTGAAACTCCCTAGATAACTTTAGCCATTATCTAGAGAGCTGGTGTCCGTAAAGTGGATGTTTTCGGTGTTTATTTCATTCCTCCTTTACTAGCACCTCTTAACATACTTCTGGAGGGGCAACGCCAGGTAAATAATAAACTTCCAATGGGGGTATGTTTGCATGACTCATTAAGAGCTACATCCAGTTGTTTGGCACGTGCTGATTTATATCATAAGACACAAGCCTATTCTGCTGTACAGTTCAATTAATTATTGAATAATTTTGATCTACCTACTTCACTTTGAAGTCTAAGTGACTTCCAGCACAAGCCTATTCTGCCGTACAGTTCAATTAATTATTGAATAACTTTTATTACGGAATATAAGAAAACATAAGAATAACAAAAAGTACCCAACATCTTCAGAATAAATCCTTCTCCTGTATAGATCTCCTATAAAAGAACTTCCCAGCATCTTTTTTCTTCAGCATCAGCTGTCTTCTTCATTGGCTGCTCAATTTTACGTGTTTAAAAGGTTCGTGGATAGTTGTGTATGGGGTGTGTGAATTCTGTCTTCAAAAACTGCCCACCGTGTGAACTTATGGGAAGGCTGGCTGATGTCGTCACTTGTCTAAAAGCAAATAAGTACAACAGAGAAGGAGAGTGTGATATAGTCACTGTGCAAATATTTTATTATATCATTTCTTCCCGAATAAGTCTAATTCTTATTTTCAAAGTAAAAGTTGATCATGCTTTTCTTCTTACTTTACCAAGCATATGTATTTAACAGAAATAGTGTTCTGCTTACTCCTTATCTCATCTCTAACTGAAAGATCATCACCAGATTTCTGTTGTCTACCTGCAGTGAAAAGCATTTTTTTTAATGTCTTGAAGGTTCTTTTGAAGAAACAGGCAGGAAGAAGTATATTTTATTTCATATGAGCCAACCTGTTTATCCTCAATTCAGAGGTGGACAAAGTGTGGTTGTTTTTATACACCAGCTCTGTCTCTTGAAACCTCTAAGAACGCTTATTCACCTTTGAAATAGTCTACACATTCTCTTGCACCACTCAACACAAAAATAAGGATTTTTGTTTTAATGGAAGCAAACTTCGAGCTGTATTCACGTACGGTTCCCCACCCTCACCCTTTTGTCAGCATATGGGACAGACTGTCTGTACAGTCCCAGGAGAGCCCGGAGGACACAGATTTGGCCCCCAGGCCTGTGTAAATCCCTCTCAATCAGTGGATTTCCTTTAGTTCTACAAATTGGATTCAGTCCAGTGTGATTTATCTGTTTTGATTGGAGGTACAGTCTGGAGAACGGTGACAGATGATCTCCTTTTTATCAGCTTCGTGACAGTAGGATCTTGATACGCAGGGTAGGGACAGATCCTCCCTCCCTTCCACCATATACAGAAGTACTTACTTTGAGCAGATTATTATTTTTTAATGGCCATAACTGAAGAGATTGGTCAATATACTTAGATTCTCCTCACACACTTCTCAAACCAGGGGAATTCTTGCTTGTGATTGGCACGCCAACCTCTGATGTGCTTGCAAATTCAGCCTTCCTTTACCTATGAGTAGAAGTGGTGTCGCACATGTTGCTTGCCACAGCTGGTGAGTTACAGGCTGAAGGGAATAAAATAAAACTTACTTTTGAAATAGTTTACTCTGCATATTCCACCTGCCCAAATGTTTTTATTTTTATTTATTTATTTTTGGACTTACATACCTCTCCATAGTGCTACAAGCACTCTCCGGGCGGTTTACAATTTCATTATACAAGCTACACATTGCCCCCCCAGCAAGCTGGCTACTCATTTTACCGACCTCGGAAGGATGGAAGGCTGAGTCAACCTTGAGCCGGCTACCTGGGATTTGAACCCCAGGTCGTGAGCACAGTTTCAGCTGCAGTACAGCGTTTTAACCACTGCGCCACGAGGCTCATGTTCCAGCATGGTGTTCTCCCCCCCAACAGGACTTTTTCGTAAGGAAGCTGCACAGAAGCAACCACCTTCTTGTGTGATGTGGGGCAAATCCTCGGCATCTTAACGTATTTTTCCTTTTGTCTTATTCATAAGGCAAGAGCGGGCAACATGTGACCCTCTGGGTACGGTTAATTGCAGCTCCCATCAGCCCTGGCCAGTATACCCAGAGGTGGTGGACGATGAAACTTGTAGACACGCAACATTTGGAAGGCCGCATATTGTTCACTCCCAGTTCAAGGAGCCCGAGAGGCTGAAGAAAAGACATCCATCCGGTCAGCTGGGAACAGAACTGGCAGCAGTTGGTTTAGACTTGAGCAGGTGTAAACACACATCACTTTTTGCATCAATTCAACCTGTTTTGTTGGTTTTGTCTTATTCCAAAACCCTGCGAAACCTGTTCATCCATGGGCAAGACTGCCCCGCAATTATAACAGAAGACGGTCTCTCTCTTAAACTAAGGGTACACGTGTCCGCTGGTGGGAAACACAGGAATAGTATAGGTGTGTAGGGTTTTCTGAACAATACTCTTGTTTCTGCTCTACCCCACTCTCCCTGTACTACTGGCTTGCCGAAAATAAAGAAAGAGAGAACTTTCTGGCTTTTTCACGGCAGGACTCTGGATTCTTTGGCCGAGTGGTTGATGCGGGACAAGGTATGAAAGGTTTCTTGATCTTCCTGATTTCACTGCTGTAGAACACAAGGATTGTTTCCCCTTGTAATTTGAGCGCTGTAACTCTTAGTGATTTTGAAAGAGCATTTCCATGTCATAAATAACTGCTCCCCACCCTCAAAGGTCTGACATGGAAAGAAGGAACTTCATTGTTTCTTTTTATTCTTCATCAAGAAGGTTGTTCTCTTAAAGTCTTATGCAAGGAAGGATGCACCTACGGACACTTGTAGCAGTCTAAGTAATTGTTTTGGATTGGAATTCAACATGCTTTATATGCCAGTCCTTATAGTAATCGCTAGCTCTCTGCTGTTACCCCTAAGTAGCAATACCTCTATTTATTCCCTTTTAAGCAGAAGCAAAGGGGGAAATAACACATACAGATTCTGCTTGTCATTGGGTTTGTGTTAGAACACAACACACAAGCCTTAGGGTTTAGCACATCACATTGTGCGGTTTAGAAGACACAAAACAAGCAGTTGTAGATGTCGAAGGTCCTTTACATGTTCATTGTATGCCATTTCTGCAGTGTTGAACTCGAATCATATTAGGTGTGGGTTTAAACCATTCAGAAATCGGTGTGTTTTTCTGAAGCCCAGCAAGTATATATAAAAATAGTATAAGAAAAATGTAACAGCCAAAATTACGATTGAAGAAACAAAGTTAGCAGCATTGATCAACACATAGTTTCAAGGTAATACATTTATTCCTTTAATAATCATCCTCCTTTGGCCCGGCGGGGGAGGAGGCGGTCACTCAAAATGTCAAAAAGAAAAAAGAAAAAAGCCTTAAATGTATAGGACGGGGCCCACATATTTGGTTGTCTTTAAAATTCCTTTTGGATTTAGAAGAATTAAGAGGTTCCTATCTATATTCACTCAAGGGTTTTCAATTTCATTTTGGCCATTGAACTAAAAAATGTGAACTATTATGTTGTTGATCTTGCTCGTGACCTGAACTACATTATGAACTGAGAATGTGTTCTTAGTGAATTGTTAAAAGTTCTTTGAAAACTTGTAAATCCCTGTAATTTATGTTCCTGTGGCCTCCGCCACTTCTCTTTTCTCCCCTTTTGTTTTTTGATTTCCCTCCTGCTTTTTTTCCCCCCCTTCTGGTTTCAATTTGACTGCAATCTTGTCCGGATAGGTATACCTGTAAAATAACTGGATTTTAAAAGCACAATTTACAATCGGAGCCACAGGGGTTTAAAGTGCTCCTAAAGTACAGGAGCTTCCTCCGTTTAAAAAAAAACACACATTTGGGTCAGGCAGTTTGTTTATATTATTAATATTGTTATTATCCTTCGGGTTGGTCTACAGTTGACCATCTTCAGTTCTATCCCCAAGGCTTTGTAGAACAAGCAAATTAATTTCAGTGACTTTCACGGGGAAGATCCTGTCATTGATGATGGTGCAGTCTATTTATTTTTAAAAGGCCCCCCTTTTAAAATCAGTGGCATGGATAAAAATTCATAAAAACTGAAAGTCTCTTGTTGCTCGCCAAAGCCAGATGCTGTGCAATATATCATCTCCCCGTGCTGTGTCGCTCACCTCCTTCAATAATTGCTCATACATCTGGAAAGAAGTTTCGTTAGTGGCTGGAACCCCTTCTTCCCACCTTTCCCCCCTCAATCCCATATACATGTCCTCGACAGCTTGCTTTGTCTGACTCTGTAGGTATTTTTCTTTGCCTTGCAGCTTTTTCTTTGTCTCTTTTATGACCTCTAGAGTCAAAAATATGTAAAATCTAGTTGCTTGGCCGTGGTGTACCTTACCCACAAGATTATTTTATACTGTAGAGATGGTTAATGGTGCGTTCCGTGAGGTTGCTAGCGTGAAGTTTAATGCTGAGCATTAAACAACCGAACTTCCAGCGCAGCTTTTTCTTAACTAACGTCTTTCACGTATGTAATCATCCTGTCTTGGCGGGTTCTAGCTTCCTTCTTTCAGTTGAAACAGGACGTTGTGCCTATGAGCTGCCCTAACGGTGTGTGCCATCTGCCTTTTTTCCTCTTCCCCCTCCCTCTCCAGGTGATTGTCCAGTCCGGCCGCCACCCCACCGTCCTCCAGAAGCTCTGCCAGCTGCCCTTCCAGTATTTCAGCGATCCTCGCCTCATCAAAGTGCTGTTTCCAACCCTCATCGCGGCGTGCTACAATAACCCGCAGAACAAGCTCATTCTGGAGCACGAGATGAGTTGCGTCCTGCTGGCCAGCTTCATTCAGGTAGGACACCTTCTGCTCAAATAAATCTCTCTCTCCTCCCTTTGCGGAATCGCTCCACGTGCCGGCGAAGGGGGGAAAAAAAGGCACAGACTTCTTCTCCGATAAGGATGTTTTGAGGTCCCCCATGAGAGATTGGTCGAGGCCTTCAGAACCTTCCCAGCCCATAAACTTTTGCAGAGTAATTTCGGTCGATGTTAAATATTTCGGAAGGACCACTTTCATTTTAAAAACACAGGGTGGTCCCGTGCAGTTCTGAACCACTTATTTTTCAATAAAGGACAGACAGCTTCTTCAATTGCCTATTTGCAAACCTTTCTGACAGAAGGGTATGTATTTTAATATAATGTAGCCCGCAGAAAAAGTTAAGCAGTGGCTATATATTTGCCAGTTTTACGTTACAAAGTGTCGGCAGCTTTATTAATGGCTGTATTTTAAATATTCCGATGATAAAATCTCTCGTTTATATAAGTCATCCTTTCTGCTTGCTCACACACTTAACAATCAACACTATATGCCTACTGTCAGTATTCTATTTAATATAGCATATACAGGTTGTTTAATACAACATTTCTGCCCATGCACATTTTTTATAGATAAATAGATATTTTTTAAAAAAAAATCTTAGTAATTGGAAATGCCTTCCATGCCTTAAATCTGGTAGAATTAATTCCCCTTTGAAGGGATGATGATGATGATGATGATGATGATGATGATGATGATGGTTGTTGTTGTTGTTGTTGTTGTTGTTGTTGTTGTTGTTGTTGTTGTTGTTAGGTTTTAATTCACATAGGATCCTGTGAGCATTACTCCTTTTCACGGCTTCCCCCCGTTTCAGTGGTGCTTACAGGGAAGATGAGTTTTGTGGATTATGATCAAATAATTACAATAAAATAGAGAAAATGTCAGCATTTGGGGATATAAGACTTTTTTTAAATTGGGTCCAACTGTCGCCTACCAAAACGGCATACATTTTAAAAGTCTAGCCAGGTACCTTTCAAAATTTTACCACTCACTATATTAAGGACATAAAAAGGTACAATTGTTGTAATTATTCATTTTATTTACATTACAAATCGTTTCTCTGGGTTGCTCGTAATTGTTTTAAAAAAATAACCAAAAATAAAAATACAGTTTCAAAAATAAAAAGCACAATAAAATCAAAACTTTTTGTTAAGACATAAAGCAAGGAGAAGAAACCAAAGAGCCTTATCAATTAAAACAACAGAGATTTTTTTAATGCAACCCTATTGACATGTTGCATATCCCAGAACATTTTTTATTCCATGCAAAAAAACAGGAAAATGCTCGGGGGAAAGCTCTGAATCCTGATTTCGCTAGTATGAGCCAGGAACTGATGCTTCAGAACATGCACAGTGAGAGATGGAAGTGCGGCTGTTACTTGGATAATAAGTTGTTTGCTTTTACCAGGAAAGTAATTGACATTCAGCTCTTTAGTTGAAGACGTGTAGCGTAAGTCAAACAGAGCTTGATTTACTGAGCACTCATGTAGGGGTTTTTGATTTCTGGTTCACATGCACGTGGCCCGCTCAGCAGCCCGAAGGATATGTGCAGTTTCCTCAGGCGTTTGGGAAACCGCTTAGTTGTCCCCACCAAAAAAAAATCTAATGTAACAGTATTAAACAAATAAACAAACAAACAAACCGGCTGCATAAAAGGCAACGTTTCTTGGTTCTGCTCCAGTGGGTGCAGAATTGAAAGCAGCCCCTCATTTGTGCTTAGATTTCCGTTCGCTATCAGGGTGAGACACTATCTTGTGTGCCTTCCTGAGGCAAAGATCCGATTTGGTTTATAACGGAGTCCTCCCCGAACGGGGGAGACGGAGAGATATCTGACCCCAAGAATGGAAAATAAATGTGTGCCATATGGGAGGACAGAGGCGTGAGGGAGAGAGAAGTTGTTCTCTCCGCTTTGCATGGAGAGATGTACGAGAAAAACGCCAAAAATACAGAGTATGTCTTTATGGCTTTGGGGGTCCTACTGTCTCTCTCTCTCTCTGCCTAGAATGCTGTTAGGAAGGCCGCTCTTTCTTTCCGCCCTCGAAGTCAACTGGGTTTTAAGCGCTTTCTTAAAAAAACTTTGCATAAAAGAGGAAGGTAATGTTACTTCTGCAAGAGGCCCTGGAGCCATTTCTCGTTGTGAACACTTTTAAGACATGACAGAATCTCTTCATGAGGAGCCCATTATGGTAACTATGGGAAGGCCACCTGAGAACAAGAGACACGGGGGTGGCAGAGGGGCTTCTGTAGGACAAGCAGGTGGCCTTCTTCATGCCCCAAAAAGAAAGAACTGAACTTTAACACAAGAGTCCAAATACTGATACCACCCGCTCGCCGGTTTGCGACCGTCTCGTTCAAAGGACCTGCCCTGAGCTAGTTTAGAGTGAAGCGCTTCGTTCTTCTCTTCATGCCTGTAAACAAAAGGCTCAACCTTAACATTGGCAAATATGGGAGATATGTTATGTTTTAATTATTAACTGTACAAGACACTCTGTGATGCTGTTATCTGTACTGCAACTGTTGATAGGAGCACATTGTCCGTTTCTAAGAAAAGGCCGAGATACAATCTTAAGTTCAGGGACGTGTTCCTCAAGCATGCTTCCGGGGTGTTTAACCAGCAAATGCATGCCTCCAACAGGAAGGTTGGATTTCTTCTTTCATTGAACATCAAATACACAAGCGATGCACCATTCAATAGAAGAAGAACTTAAACATCTCCCTAATGAAATCCTAAGGTGTATAACAAGCTGCTCTTGAAATGTCCGGCCACTTCCAGACTATCTCGCAGTGTTCACTTGTGTGTGGACAGCTAGTGCATGATCATTAGTAAGTGTAAATAGAGACAAAATCTGTATTTTAATTCAAACCAGATCAAGCCCCTATTTAGGCTGGCTGTATAATGTCCCAGAATTATCTTATGCTTGGTTGCAGCGTTTTGTCTTGGGTCAACTCTATAGGTACGTTCTGAGGGGCATATAACCCTGGTAAAATAAGGCAGTCATAGTGCCCGGGTTGGATTTTTGTGCTGTGCAGGTGCTGGAAGGTTTACGTTGGTTTTGTTTAGGGGAATTAAACTTTCAACAGAGTTATCTCTTAAGTTAGGAAACAAAAAATAATAACGTAATCAAAAGAATAAATAAAAGCAACACCCTTGCAGTCACTAAGGACAGACAGGAATTGCAGGCCTTACTGGGCATTATCGGCAGTCGTTAGCAAAGTCAAAAGGTTTCCAAAGTCCAGCTAAGCCAGTACGGTCTACACAGTGTGGCAGAAGCTCATATGTGCTCATATGCCAAGGTCTATTACCCATTGCCTTTGCAAGGGGAGATGCAAAGTCTCACACCTGAACGCTTAACTGTGCAAAACGGAGGCTCTGTTTTTAAGCTGCCAGCCCTTTTGGGAAAAGTAGGTTCCATCATCCTAGATTTAAAAAAAAAAACACCCTTCTTGGCCATCAACCCAACTTCATAGTGTAGTCAGTTCCAATAAATGGAGTCCCATGGAGCCGGTTGTGTTTATCTGAGCTGTATTTGCATGACCAATGTAGGAATTTCTGCACCTCTGCGATTAAGGCAATCCGATGGGTGTCCAGCAGAATTACTGCACACTATAAACCCAAGAACAGTTAAAGATGTTCTATAATAGCCAGAAAGACTGTCCCGTTAGGCCGTTAGGACTTTTTCAGTATTTTACAACAGGCGTTTGCATAAACTGTTCTGCTTTTAGGAAGCGTGGAAGACACAACTTTTTAAATTGGCTTTATGATATCATTTAATCCGACATTTAATCTACTGTGATGAATTTAAGTATTTAAAGAGTTAACTGGTTTCAGTATGGTTTAATTTCATTTTACTGAGTCTGTGGTTGAATGGTTTCTACTTGTTTTTAATACATTTTTACCACATGTTGTTTAATATCTCTTACGATGGTTGCAAGCTGCCTTGTAGTGGACAGGCAGGGTAGAAATTTTATTCTCCTTACAAGGAGAAACAGGAGTACAGTAATAAGCCAAGGCTGAATTGCTTAGAAGTCTTAGGGTTCAATGTGCATTTGTGTTGAAGGCTAGCAAAAATCTGTTTGTACCGTGCAGGATGTTTGTTCTAACATAATTTGCTTTTGTTTCCACAGGATTTCACACAAAGTTCAATCCAGACAGATAACCAACAAAGGGGTAAGTCTACTTCAGGGTGTTAACTATCCGTCAATAAAATCTGCTATATTTTTGCTCTTCAGAGGTAAAATGGGTCATAGGGTCTTCGGAAGAGCGGTTTCCTTCATGAGAAAAGTTAGAAGAACGTAGAGGAGTGATTGACGAAGGATTGAGGGCAGGGGGAAAATAGACATAGCCAAAGAGTATTTAGATTAGATTAGATTTAGATTAGATTTAGATTAGATTAGATTAGATTAGATTAGATTAGATTAGATTAGG